ACACGCCCTAATCGGGACAATAAAAAATTCTTGAGGTGAAAGTATATGTAGCAACTATCACGCAGTGACGTAGCTAGGATTTTCGGGCCCCTATGCAAAAATTATCAATGGGCCCCTTTGTCAGCCGTTAGGCTACAATGGAGTGAAACGAAGGAATCAACTGCTACTTCGGATGTAGGGTTTTAAATAATATAAATTTTCTGTACATTTTGTATTTTATACATCAGATTGTTTATTTATACTATATTATTATGTAGGCCTACAACTCTTTGTTATGTAAAAATGTTAAGAGCTGCCGTTAATTTGTTTTTGTTTTTCAAGTAACAAAATACGGCTGACACCATGACAAAACATTGTAAAATTTATTGAAAAAAATTATGTTGTATTCAGCTAAAATAATAAAAGATAAGTGACATCTCTGGTAAACGCGAAGGGGAACACCCAAACTTGTGATGCCACAAACACATTTAAAAAAAAAACTGCTCGTGATTTATTTAGACGTGTTTCTTCTCATGCTTTTAATTTTTAAAATAAAAAATAAGTTTCTTGAGATCTAGTTTAGCTGCTTCTGTATGTTAGATACTTACGATGGCTAAGTTACTGACCCAAAGGGCATACCTACAGTTTGTTTAAAAACAAATTAACAGCATCACAATGAACAAAAAATGAGATTGAAAAATTCCATCATACACATCAATATCTCCTTCCTGATCACAGTGGAATATTTATCTGTAGCAAGCATACCCATCCGCGTTGCTTCGATCTAGTACCACATACCAGTGTAATGAAACAAATACCAGTGTAATGAAACAATTTGTAAGGGTTTCATCAACGCGTTACCAATTGTGTATTTGTAGTCGTGTAAACCTTATTTTCTAAAATTGATATAGTGAAAGGGTAAACAAAGTCACTGTTTTTTTCGGATCTTTGTTGCTGGGCGCGGGTTTGTCCAAACTACCTGTCAGACGCCCTTGGGCGTGCTGTATGAAAACATTGAGTGTGCGTTAATCATCCTCCGTAATAGTGAAGCTGAACACCTTTCAGTGACCGCCAAAGGGTGTCACGCTAGTGACGTGTTACACTTGCCGGATGCTACCCCTGGTTAGGTTTAATCATCGAACATGGAGGCTCGCCGTAGGGTGCTCCTATGCTTGGTGTTATCCGTAAGCCGGACCGCCGAAGGCAGCCCCTTCTGCAGTTTAATCTTTGAATTACTAGTACCCCTGCATGACAAGTAATCAACGGATCTCTTGCACACAGGTAGCCGCTAGCGATCTTGGGCGCCCAACCTTTACTACGGCTGATGCGCTGGAGGACAATCCTTATTCGATTAGTTATCGATTTCAATAGCACACCGTATCCTTAGTGAATGGCGCTCAGTAAAACAAATATAAGCGCGGTAAAGCTCACGGGGGAGCCCAGGGCGCACCGGGGCGCCGGATGATGCACCTGTGCAAATTTGACCGCTGCGCCGGACTTTCAATCAACGGAACCCAGTTGCAAAGATAGCCGAAGGGAAACAGTACAGCCATACTACCGTGACGCCGCCATAAAAAAAATTAATGCTAGACACTTTCCCAAATGCCATAGTTTCTTTCAGACACGTTTTCGGAAAATAATGTCTGGAAAAAAAAATACTGTGTGGGGTATTCTAAACGACTTCCCAAAAAATCTTCTTGGCGATTGGATGAAAACCAAAGACTTATAGGATTAGTAGCGCCTTAAGGATCCTGTTCGCCCCCCCCCCCCCCACACACACATGGGGGCCTTTTTGGAACTTCTAACGTGGGCCCCTATGCCTTGCCGTCGCTAGCTTTACGTTATCTACGCCACTGCTATCACGAAAAAAATTAAAAAGTTCCACTATTAATGATAATATTCACTTAATGATAATATTTTAACTTATTTAGGCTGTTTAAAAATAATCCAGTCAATTCATAATTATTATACCTATATAAATTAGGCACAGGTTCATATGATAGAGAGAATTAATTAAATAGTGTAAACGATGTTTAGACTAAGTTATTTATTTTTATCAGATATTTGATTTCGATGGTTGGTATCAATTAACAATTTATCAATTACGGTATTACCTGTTTGATGAATTGATCTAACACACTTTGTAACTCACTTTGCTGTTCTTGCAAACAATCTACGAGGAGTAGCAAGTATTTCCTCGATTGCTGACTTAGTGCCATCATTTAATTAAATAATTTAAATCAGTTAAGTGTTGTATAAATATTACAAATGAATAGCCTGTAGCATAGTATGGACTTTAGAAATATATGGTGGATGCTATCAAATGCTTTCTCGAAATCTATGTAGTTGATGTAGAGAGACGAATTCCACTCCAGGGACTGTTCCACTATAGTGCGCAAGACAAATATTTGGTCGTTACATGACCTGTTGGCCCTGAAGCCAGCTTGTTCTTCACGAAGGATCCCATCAATTCCTTTCCTCATTCTTTGTAATAGGACTCTGCAGAAGACTTTTCCTGGTACTGACAGAAGATTATTGCCTCTCCAGTTCTCACAAACATTAAGGTCGCCCTTTTTGGGTAATTTGATAATGACTCCCCGTTTCCAAGAATCTGGGACTTTTTCTTCATTCCATAATTTATTGAAGATCCCTGATAGAGTTTCTGCACCTATTTTTGGGTCTGCCTTTAGCATCTCCGCAGTGATTCTGTCCTCTCCTGGAGCCTTATTGCTTTTTGTTTTTTGGATAGCTTCTATTATTTCTTGTTCTAGGATGGGTCCTCTATACATTTCAAAATGTATGTTCATGTCAGTGAAGTCAGCAGTTTCTTCTGGGTCTGGTCTGTTTAGGGTCTCTTCGAAGTATTCAGCCCATCTTTTCAATTGATGTTTCTCCGTTGTAAGAACTTTCCCGTTTTTGTCCTTGATAGTAGATGATCTATTTGCTTTTCCTCCTGTTAGAGTCCTGATAATCTTGTAGACTGTTCTGCTATATCCCTTATCAGCTGCAGCCTGTGCTTCTGTGGCCATTGTGTCTACATAGTTCCTTTTATCCTTCCTAGCATTCCGTTTTACCTCTTTTTGCAGTCTTCTATATTCTACATCGTTCCGTACCCTGCTTTCCAAGGTTCCAGATAGTGTTTTGATTTTGGCTTCTCTTCTCTTTTCAATGAGATTCCAAGTATCGTTTGAGATCCATTCCTTCCTTTGTTTGTTCCTGTGTCCTAGTATGCATTGGCTTGTTTTCGTGTATACATCCAGGATCTTCTCGCATTGTGTATTGGTGTCATCTTCTGGTAGGTTCTCGAGTAGACTAAATCTATTTTTTAGTTCAATTGCGAAGTTTGCCTTAATGGTGGGATCTTTTAGCTTAGCTGAGTCAAATAGCTGGTGGTTTACTTTCCTGTCGACTCTCTTAAGCTTGAGTTGTAGTTTGCACAAGGCTAGATTATGGTCGCTACCCACATCAGCTCCTCTTATTGCCTTTACATCCCTCGTGGATCTTCTCCACCTTTTATTTATAGCAATGTGATCGATTTGATTGCTGGTTCGTTTATCTGGGGATATCCATGTGGATTTGTGCATTTCTTTGTGCTGGAATAAGCTGCCACCTATAACCAGACCATTTTCTAAGCAAACCTCTCTAAATCTTTGGCCGTTGTTGTTTGCCTCTCCCAGCCCCTCCTTACCCATGCAGAGCTCGTATCCTTGGTTACTGGCTCCTATTTTTGCATTCATGTCTCCCATGACCACAAGAATGTCATGTTGTGGAGTCCTGTCGATTTGCTCTTGTAGAGTGTGGTAGAACATGTCTTTGTCTTCATCCTTTGCTTGTTCTGTCGGGGCGTAGCACTGTATTACGGTAATCTTTACATGTCTTGAGTAGAATCTGACTCTAAGAATGCGAGAATTGATTGGTTCCCACCCTATTCCAAATACGTAGGGCCTAGTTTTATATATACACCACTATTGCTCAATAATAAAAGAAAACACATCCACTTTTATTCTTTTGAATGTGTAAATAATGTTTAAATATTGTGTTTTTGTTTTATAATTAATGTTTTAGTGGACTAAACAGATGTTTGTTTACCATTGTGTGTTACATTATTTGTTTCCTATCACTCAGAATAAACAGAACAATCCTTCAAGTTAACTTCAATTCTTGATATAAACAATACAGCTCTGATGACACTTCACTGGTATAACACACTCACACGGCACATATCAACATATCAGCTTTGATTATTATATATTGTCTACTAAACATCATTTCTTCACCTCATACCAACCACCAACAGTACTTAACTTAACCGTCTACATACTTTATTTTCTTCACATTGCATTTTAACATTGCATTTTAACATTGCATGGTTTTTCTTTCCACATTGTTACAAATGTTTTCCCTTGTCGGGCATAGTTCCTTTACACATCTAGTGATTGTGTCCAGAATATCCCCCCCCCCCCTCAGACTGTATTTAAAGTTTCCCATATACGTAACAGAACACACGTCTCTAACTTTATCTGGCTATGTTCAACAAAAAAGTTCAAAATTTTGATAACTCCTACTGTTGCTTCAGTATCCTTACACGTTCTATACATACTTTCAATATGCCACTGCTAATTATAATCTTTTCGTCTTATTTTCCTTACCACTATCCAATCTCTTAATTATAATTCTGACACATGTTCAAAACATTTTACGTTTTCATCAACTTGTGTAAAGCATTCACATATTCTACAATTTTCTTTTCAGATTCAGGATTCCTTTTGTTAAATATGAATCTCTCAAATGTCCACCCAACTTTACTTTCCCCAACGTAAGTTAGGTACCCATCAGAGCTGGGTAGAATCAGTGACGTTCCAATGACTTAAACCCGGATACAAACTCGAGACTTTCGGGTTAGCAGTCCAGCGCTCTGGGCCAGGTCGTCCCATAAGTGTTTCTAATAACTTTAGTAAAATACAGATACATATCAACTTCATAGTAAATCATAAACAAATGTAGTTTTTTTTTGTAGTGATTTAATAAAAAGCTAACGCTTTCTTTTTACAACTGTTAAGCACTAATGAGAAAACAAGTGAATTGAGAAAAATTTGACAAGGAAGCGTTCCCTTCACCTTTAATTGCTAAACATAAAAATTCACCCTTCTTCATTAAGACAGCAGTACTGAATACACCTGTTGAAAGTGCCCTTGTTGTTTTAGACCAGCAAATTGATTTGACATTGTTGACATTTAGTTCATGGCTCATTAACACATTAATAGCACCATCATTGTGTTGAATAAAACAAAAACTAGCAGCATAGAGGCCATCAACAGGAGCAGTGAACTTTCCAGTGGCTGGGTTAAAATGGTTTCCTGTGTTGATGGTAACATAATCGAACCTTTGAAGAATGCTGAAAATATTTTTATTTAAGGGTTCATCATTCCGAAATGAAGCTGAAAATCCTATAACATTGGCTTTTTGCTGTGTTTTTAAATCTGTAAAAAAAAAAGTTAAAACGTGTGATCCTAATGTATTTTATCACTGGTAAATACGATAGTTTAATGTGTTTTTTAAGCTCAACATACTTTCTATTAGTTACCTATCAATAACATTACACATTAAACTTAAGTTGCTAATTGTACAAAAGCATTAATATATTATTTAAAATTAAAAACATATTGTTTACTCATTTAAGCTTCTTAAAACTCAGGTTAAGTAATTTAAACACTTTACAGGCATAGTCTATATTGATCTTACTTACTGATTGCTAATACCTCTGCTTTCAATGTGGTTATATCATCTTGCAAAACATGAAACTATAAAAGAGATATAAGCTACTGTGAATTAATTTTAAAACTGCTACTATTTCATCATTTTCAATTCAATTAAAAAGAATTGCTTTATACCGTCTTTCTAGTAAGTTAAAAATCAGTTTGAAATAAATACCTTATTACATTTTTCTACTCTAGCAGAATTTTGAGTATTTATTACTCGAAGCAGCTTTTCAATGGGCATCAATCTTTGTAGTAGAATGTTGCTGACAACACCATACTAAAAAAAGCATTGAAATCTTATAAATATAACTGATATTGTATTGATATTATTAATCATATTTCTGGTATTTTACTGATATTTTAATCATATTTTTACATTTTTAAAAAAAATAGTGTTTTAATGTTTTATTATGTACGGTATTTGACTTTTAATTAGTTAAATTTAAAGTTTGCAAAACCGAATTTTATGATAGTAACTGTAATAGATTGACGATAGAAGCATGTGGTTGTATATAAAACGTTTATTGGCCTCCAACTACATGATGGTAACGAGAGAGAGGGCGGAAGTGACGAGACACAACTATATAAGTACATATAAGGGACATCACTCTAGATAACAGTATAAATATAATACTATTACAAGAAGAGTGAGTTCCCTTGACTTCACAATTCTCACTATATTACATCCCTTTACCCTTAGTAAACACAACACATCTCTCAATAGAACAATTTACAGTATCCTAAAATCACCAATTATATTGTAACATGAACACTATGGTAGATTACATCCTTACAAACAATGCACAATATGTTACAACATAATTAAAATACAAAACAATGATGTCAAAGTCCTTTTGACCTTTAAAATCATAGGTCTAACTTATTTGGGACTTTGATTGTCCTGCTTGACCTTCTCAGTGGCTTTTGATTTGGTGACTCAAGATTTTGACCATATGGATTCTCTATCTCAGGAGGTCTAGGATCTAAATCATTAATTCCAGAATTTACATTTTCTGACTCTAGACCACTTGGTTCACTCATATCAACAGAACTTGGTTGTGGAACAAACTGAGTTGGTGTGAACTGATCAGATTTGGTGGGATTGACAGATTTACACTTATTATCTGCACAAGTTATTTTTAACTGGTCTGCATGTCTACGGACAATAAGTCCATCATTTGTTTTTACTTTATAAGACACAGGTCCTGTACATTGAACAATTTGACCTGGTATCCATTTTTCCCTTCTCCCATAATTTCTTAGATACACATTATCATTAACACCAAATTCTCTTTCAATGCATGTTTTGTCATGATTTAATGGAACTATTTTTGAATTGGCATCTGGAAGTATTATGCTGTTATTCAGATCCTTGACTGACATAGATTTCTTTGATTGATCAATTTTCTCAGGTAATCTGATAGTGCTTTTTAGTAACCAAAAATACTGTTTAAAAGTAATATCCTGGACCATATCAATTTGCAACTGTGATCCAGTATTTGAAGTGGGTGTATTAAATGGCAAAAATCTTTTTTTTCTTTTGATGTTACCCTTTTAGTTTCTGTAAGTGCTAATGATGTTAGCAAAGTTGTTTGATGATCACATTCCTTCTTACTAATGTATTCTCTTTTAAAAGCATTTGAAATTGCCAAATCACCATAATCATTTATTAAGTTACACATACTTTGTTTAGGCAACTCTGACTGATAATGGACTGCATCTTCTCCATCTTTTAGACTTAATTCCATTTTTCTTATTTTATATGGCTTTAAGTCCTCATTCACTGACTCTTCAGGCCAACCATACTTACAGTACTCATATACTTTTATTAAGCACTCATCTTTTTGTGTTTCTCTTTTAACATCATTCACATTAACATAATTCACATTTATATTGGAGTTATCCATGATAGTGAAGAGAACAAATACATCTTCTGGTACATAGCTAAGGCTTTGGTTTTTTAAAGGTAATCGACTAAGACTATCTGCACTATTCTCAGATCCGGGTTTGTATTTCAATTCATAATTGTATGCGGCTAGTGTGATAGCCCATCTTTGAATTCTTGGTGAGGCATGCTCAGGTAGGGGTTTGTTTTCTCCAAATAAACCTAGCAATGGTTTATGATCTGTAAAGATGGTGAACTTCCTACCAAACAGAAACTTATGAAATTTCTTAACACCAAAAATGATGCCTAAGCCTTCCCTATCTAACTGAGAATAATTTTTCTCAGCCTGGTTCAAAGATCTACTGGCAAAAGCAATGGGTCTGTCACCCTTTTCATCCATGTGGGACAAGACTGCTCCTACACCATCTGGTGAAGCATCACATGTCAAGACAAGTCTTTTCCCTGGGTCATAGTGAGTTAGTAAGGTGTCAGAAGACAAAGCTTCTTTTGCTGTATTAAAAGCAGCATCTTGTTGTTTACCCCAGTGCCAAGTTGCATTTTTCTGTAGCAGCTTGTACAGTGGTGATAGTTTACCAGGATAGATTCCCTATGAACTTTGCATAGTAATTTATCAAGCCCAAAAAAAGCTCTTAGTTGTTGGGTATTTTCAGGTTTGGGTGCTTCTTTAATGGCTTTTGTTTTCTCAGGTTGAGGTCTGAGACCTTGCTTGCTTAATATATAACCAAGAAAACTAATTTCTGTCAGCATGAATTGACATTTATCTTTGTTTATCTTTAAACCTTTTTCACCAACTATTTTCAAGACTTTATCAAGTGTTTTAAGATGTTCAGTGTCATTCTTACCAGTTATGTACACATTGTCAAAGTACACACAAACATTTGGAATATCCTTAAAAATACTGTCCATGACAGCCTGGAAAATTCCAGGGCTGGATGATATACCAAAACACAGTCTTTCATGTTGGTAGAGTCCTTTATGTGTCTTTATTGTCGTATAGACTTTTGAATCTGGATGCAGTTCTAGTTGAGTGTAAGCATGACTAAAGTCTAATTCAGTGAATTTGTCTCCTCCTGCCAAATTCAAAGAAATTTCCTCAATGTTAGGAATAGGGTACCTATTTAGCTCTATTTGCTTATTCAGTGTAGCTTTATAGTCTCCACAAATTCTTACAGAACCATCCTTCTTTAACACTGGCACAATGGGCGTTGCCCAATCGGAATAGTCTACCTTCTTTATGATGCCATTAGATTCCAATCTACTTAGCTCATTTTCAATTTTATTCCTCATTGCATAAGGTGGAACTCTAGCTTTGCAGTATCTTGGATTTGTGTCTTTAATGCTTATCTTCACTGTTCTATCATTTAGTAATCCTGAGTTACCAAAAACACTTTCATTTTCAGATATAACTTTATCTATTGAAGTAAAACTAGATTCTCTTGCTTTGATCACTGAAAATATACTCTCCCAATTTAACTTAAGATCACTTAACCAGTTCCTACCTAGTAATGGTGGTCCATTTCCTTCAACCACAAGAAGAGGAAGTTTAACACTTTGACCATTATAACTTACATGAACCACACACTCTCCTATTACCGGAACATTGTCACCAGTGTATGTTGTTAGACACTTGTGACATGGTTGTAGAGGCACTGATCCTCCTGTGACAGCGTCAAGGTCCTTCTTTGTGATGACTGTTAGAGATGCTCCAGTGTCAAGTTGGAAGCTGATGCTCTTACCGTTGATATTAACTAGTACATTGATGGGAGCATGACTTATTGATTTCACAGAGAACAGGTTGAAATCCGGCTGCGAATCAGTTTGAGCATTTTCACAGGTAGAGTGGTTCATTGGTTGGGTTAGGTAGTCTTGGTGAGAGTTAACATAGTGCTGACTTTGGTTGCGGTACTGTCTTGACTGGCTAGATTTAGCAACAGACGAAGACTTTGCAAAGCAGGCCTTGGCAATGTGACCTTGCTTACTGCACTTATAACAAGTAAGTTGCTGACTTGAACTTGCATCGATGAGATGCATGGGGACCTTTGCATCGATGACATTTTTGATAATTATTACTAGATTTAGATCTAGGATTTGAACGTGCAGGCTGTTTAGCATAAGTTGAAATGCTCTGATGGGGTTGGTGTTTGTTGACTAACCTGCTGTTTACTGCATGGATCTCTGAGGGCGTTAGAGATTTTGCCGCATCGGATGACTGCTGGATTGAAGTCGCAAGTTGTATTGCTTTTTCTAAAGTTAGATCTGACTCGAGCAGCAACTTTCTTTGAACATCAGGACTGTTTACACCTGTCACAAACTTTTCACATAGTCTGTCAGACAGCGTTTCTCCAAATTCACAGAATCTACTTAAATGACGTAAAGCAGCAACATATTCTGATATTGACTCGTTTGGTTGACGAGTCCTACCGTCAAATCTAGCTCTACATAGAAACTTTGATGGTACAGGCGCATGGTGGTCTGTTAGCAATTTGCTCAGCTCGTTAAAGCTCTTGGTAGTTAGACTAGGCTGGTGCGCATAAGTCCTTTAATAGCCTAAATTGTTGAGGCCCTATGACTGTTAACAAAACAGCTCTCTTTTTGGCTTCTATCATCACGTCGTTAGCTTCAAGGTAAAAGCTTAACCTATCTAGATAATCATGAATGGTTTCATCATTCGAATCAAATTCATTTATTTGGCCATACAGCGCCATTATTCTAGAAATACTTAGCCAATATGCTCTAGCAAGCTCCTTTTTAAGTAAGCATATGCTCTTTCTAGTGGATTATCTATCCTCGTCGCCAGATGTAATAGATTGACGATAGAAGCATGTGTTTGTATATAAAACGTTTATGTGCCTCCAACTGCATGATGGTAACGAGAGAGAGGGCGGAAGTGACGAGACACAACTATATAAATACATATAAGGGACATCACTCAAGATAACAGTATAAATATAATACTAATACAAGAAGAGTGAGTTCCCTTGACTTCACAATTCTCACTATATTACAGTAACAAAACAATAAAAGCTAGAACCTTTACTGCTGTCTAAGAGTAAAAATACTTTTGAAGCATTTTTTCATAAAATGCAAAGTTAATGTAAACCATTTTGTAACTGTTGATTATAATTCTGCTAACATACCTTTACTTCTAATTTTTCCAAATCTTTTTCAATATTCAGCAGGGCCTGAGATTGGTTTTCTTTAGATTTGCTGGTTAATTCTGTTAACTTTAACATGTCATCCTTATTGTTATCAATTTTATTATGGATTGCATTTAACCCAGAATTCAAGTGAGCCAGATTCGTCTCATAATTCTCCAATGATTTATTAGCTGTTGTGAATTTACTAAACAAATCTGCTTCATTGTTTTTTAAAGCTTTTATATCTTGTGTTATTTTAGTTATGCTTTTATTAACTTCTTTAATTTGCTTGGAAAAATGTTTTGTTTTAGCATTTTGTTTCTGTATAAAGTTTTCTACGCTGGCCTCCATCTCCAGTTGTTGTGTTGTCACAGCTTCCTTCCACTGCTTCATTTCATTAACTGCTTCTTTGCTTTCCACTTTTGCTTGTTTTAAACCAGAAATGATATCTTCTAAAGCTAAAAACCTTGAATTTATTTCTTCATCTAAGTTGTAATTTTGGAATGAGTAGAAAAAAAACAAAAGTTTAAGTTGTTTAACTTTTTAAAAATCTCTTTCCTAATTTGCACCTTACATCTTAAAGTACAAGTGTTTATCTTCTGAACAATTAAACCAAGCTCAACATTTTCATTCTACTAATTTAAATATCAAAACTTGAGTCATTCAACATTTTTGTTTAAACAGTTCTTTAACAAAGTTTTTTTTAAAATGCAGCATTTAAGTATTTTCAAAGCCACACACATAGATAATATATATATATATATATATATATATATATATATATATATAAGAGATTGCATTTACTTGAATAAGCTGATTCATTTAGTGCTACAGAAGGCTTCTCACTTGTGGCACACTTCAATTGTGCTGATGTTCCTGAGTCCACAGATTCAGATGTTTGATTTATTGTGTTGTCTAGAAAACATATTTAGTTTTAATAACAGAAAAAATTTAAGGCCTATAGTGTGATGTGTTTTTGGAGACATCCTTTATTTATTAGCCTAAGTATATATTTATGCATATTTGGCTATTAACAGATAACATATCAGTACAAATTGCAAATTCAATTATGCTTTATCAACACCTAAGCTTAATTGCATCATTGACTTATCAATTAACCCGAACTATAGTGGGCTTTTAGATATATGTCGGACAAGTAGAAAACTTTAAAAAGAATATCAATTTTTAAATAAACTATTCGTAGATCATTGCATGCAGCTACTGAAAGTATTTTATATAATGCGGTTTATATTTTTAATATAGTATTTTAACATTTTTCATATATTTTTTAGAGATGACCACTAAGCATATGTCTGACCTGTATACAAGTTTATAGTTTCCAACAATTTTCTACTGGCTCCTGAAAGCATGACATGGATGTCATTGAATGACATGTTGCCTTGGTCCGGTTTTTCTAGCCAGCTTCTAGCTTTTGTTACTGTCTAAATGGTTAAAATGTTCTTAATGATTAAATATTCTGTTATGATCAAGAAAACTAATTTTACATTATTAATTTATTTTCAGCAAGTAGCATTTTAATCAAGTAAATTTATTTAGGCTTTGAACGAGGTGTATTGTTTCTATCTACCAAAGGTTAGGAATATGTGAAAAATAAATGTGCATACTTTTAACACCCACATAAAAAAAAAAACATTGTGTGAGAATATTTAGTAAAAATATGACAATTATTTTTTAAAAAACCAGTTAAACTCAAAAAAATAAAATCATTTGTCTAATTAATATTATCAGAGGCCTGTTTAAATAAATGTTTTTACAATAGCCTACACTATAGTAATTGTAAGCTTTTTTTGCGGTAAATGAAATGTTTTGGGAAACACGTCCTTACAGGGGCAATGACACGTTCTTGAGTTGAATGTATTATTTTGCAGCTTTCAAGTAGATATGTTATAAAAGGTTTCTTCATGGTAAGGGCAAATTTAAAATGTTTCACTATATATCAGTATTATCAGAATCATAATATTTTCACTCTGTGATAATATTTAGGCTGTTTTAAAAATAATTCATTCAGTTCTTAATTATTACAGCCATATAAATTAGGCACAAGTTCGTGTGTTAGAGCGAATTAATTAAAGAGTGTTAACAATGTTTAGACCAAGTTATTTTTTTTTATCAGTTATTTGATTTCGATGGTTGGTATCAATTAACAATTATTACCTGTTTGATGAACTGATCTAGGACACCCTGTAACTCACTTTGCTGTTCTTGCAAACAATCAACGAGGAGTTGCAGGTGTTTCCTTGATTGCTGACTGAGAGCCATTATTATCTAAGTTAAACTAGTGTATAAATATAGATCTAGTACAGTAATAGTATGGAATTTAGAGTTTAGACCGTATGCTTACAGTCTAGGCAACTCTGGCTATACTTTATTTTATCTGCAAATCAAGTAACATCAACAAGGAAGAAAAATATGATGGGGAAAATCCGATTTCAGTTTCGTTTTCGACATTGTGAAAATTGTTAAAATTAAGCCCCCACCCCCCACCCAAACACACTCGAAGCACGTCTACCGCAAATAAATTAAATATTTCAAATAATGAACATAAATAATGCTCTTTAAGATTTAGTAGACAATTTTTATACAAATGTTTTGTTTTACATTTACATTTTATTAGAATTCCCATTCCTATACTTAACTTTAGCTAGTTCATGGAGAAATAAATTCAAGGCAGAAATCTGTAGATTTAATTTCTTCCTCCAACCAAAGCAGCAAGCAACATTGAAGAAATGTGTAAAGACAAAAAGTGGTAGAAGGATAAGCGCGATAGTAATATAACGAAAAAGATGGAGGCCAATATTACAAATGTATGGAAACACAGAGGATGAAAAAAAATAGTGTTACCAAGAAAGTGAAAACAAAATTTATAACTTTAATAAACCGGGAGCGATCTCCCCTAAACTTTCTCGAATATTCTTTTATAAAAAAACAGGGGATGGGAACTCGGTATATAGACATGAATTTTAATCCATTTTAAATACTTAAACTTTTTAAAATATAATAAAATCTCGTAGAAAAAAAAATTGCACACCTGTGAACGCCAAATAAAACGTTCATAATAGTGCGGAATATTATTAGTACTTGATAAATTTTATTAGTTTTTTTGAGAAATCGGAAATAGCGTAAATTAGTACTTTCAATCAACGGAAGGTAGAGAATTAGATATTTTACTTACAATTGAAATTTCATTTATCTATCTGAAATAGTACTCGAGTTTTAGGCTTTTGAAAAATTCAAAGTAGAAAAAGTAAAATAAAATAGTTATATATGAAATTTCATCAAAAATTCCGATCAAGTATTTTATCCCATCGTAGTAAATATTTTTCCACTTGGACCCTAAACTACTTGTTTAAACGTTTGAAATTTTTTTTCTGTAAAACTAAATCCAATGTTTCATTTTAACATATATTTTTTTGAATTATGACTAGAAAGAGAAAATCTCGTAGCCACATTAGAAATAATGCAATAGTAGAAAAGTTAAAAGTAAATTACATTAAAACTTATTTTTTTAAGTTTCATGTACTGCAAAATGGTTTAGCCACATTGAGTGACAAAATTTGGTATACGAGTCCACCCAGCTCTGATTAGGTACCGGAGTAAATTTATGGAAACGGAAAACTGTTAAACAAAGTGCACATCTCATTATCCCTTCACATGCCGAGGTCATAGAAACAGGTTAACTCTACTTCATCCGTCCTATGAACCACAACGTTTGAAAGGACACCTTTTTCTTCCTGTTCTTTATGGATACCCCCCAGTTCTTGTCTAGTGGTGTTACCATAAACTTTACCAAATACATTTCTGATGGTGTACCCGGCCCACCGAACATATATTATAGTGCAGTAATCTCTGCGTGCGCCCATAATTTCTAAGTTTTGAATTTTTGTTGAACAATCCGCTATCTACTGAGGCCACGATAAATGAACCACGACGTAGCGAGGAATGACTATGATTCCATTTTTATAGCAATCATGATGTTATAAAAAAATGTGTAGTAAGATGCGCATCGCGTTATTATAATGCACCGATTGAAACGAATACAGGCAGGAAAGAGACTCTTTTAAAAAAGAAATCGATTTCCAGAAAAAGTGCACCAAGTTTTTTTATACAATGTTTACACTGGATCGTCTAGACATATTCCCCACTGTACATGGCACTATAGTTACATTTTATAAATAATCGTATATTGTATTGGGTATAAAGATAGGCTAGTACTCGACACAACAAACATTGGTTGGTTTATTGGTTTATAATAACTTAAAAAAAAACCGAGTATTCTTTGGACTGTCAATAAACGAAATCACACTCGTGAGGAGGGGGGAAGGGGGGGGGGGGGGGGGTTCGGACTAGTGTGATAATGTGTGACCGGGTGGGTTGGGCTAGAAAGTTTGATGACACATTGTGAATTTTAGAAAGTAATGAAAAAAAAATTAACCACTTTTTTTTCTCGTTTTTTACAGGCCGTTTTTGCTAAAATTGTAAAAAATAAATTATTGATCAGATTGATCAAGGTACTCACTGTTGATAAAGGTTAGAAGAAATTTTAGAAAGAAAGTTGTGTTGTAAAACCGAAAACTTTGAGGGCGGTAATATGCTGGGGAGGAGGGTGTCTGTTTTTGTGACGTGTTACAATGGTAGGAGTGGAGGGGGGGGGGTAAAATGTTTAAAACAGCCTGCTGTCATCAAGGAATAGATTACAAAACTAGTTTTAATATTCAATTTTATTATTATTTTAATTACAATTATTTCATTATAATTGTAGGACCAGAAGAACTGCTCTTATAAGGCTACGATTTCTTCATTAGACATATAGTTAACGCTACATAATGAATACAATTTCTGATTAGTATTGCTACATCATGAATAATTGTAATATACAAGGATATAAATGATTTTTAAATGAACGATTGAACATGTACATCATTTAACGATGTACAGATATCCAAGGGCAATTACGATTGTGTATGCCACTGTGTTGTGCAAGTATATCGTGCAAGGTTAGTTAATTCTAGATCAACAATATTAGCTTTTAATGTGGGCTAAAATAATCAATACGTTTGAATAGTGTATTCATTTCAAAATTCTTAGAAGTTTAAGTGCCTCGTACCATCTTAGGCTATTTGTAAACTACAAGGTTAGTTAATTCTATATCAACAAGATTAGCTTTTAATGTTAGCTAAAATAATCAATACGTTTGAATAGTGTATTCATTTCAAAATTCTTAGAAGTTTAAGTGCCTCGTACCATCTTAGGCTATTTGTAAACTACAAGGTTAGTTAATTCTATATCAACAAGATTAGCTTTTAATGTTGGCTAAAAATAATCAATGTTTGAAGGTAGTGAATCCATTTCAAAAGTCTTAGAAGTTTAAGTGCCTGATACCATCTTAGGCTATTTGTAAACTATAGTTTGTCACGATAATACGATTTATAGAAATATAGAAAATACAGAAATATATTGAAAGAATAGCTTTTGAACCAGTAAACTGTCTGCCCCTAAATGCCCTTTCAGCTCTGCCCTCTACCACACTGGGCGACTACTTTGTCGTCCAGGTACCTGCACTGCCCGAGGGTAGCACCGCCGTGTCTCACGTCATCAGCCCATTCATCGAGTGCACCGAGGTCACCCAGACGGTCACCTACACGACACAAACCGACACGACACAAGTCGACAGGACGACAGAACGTGTTGACCAGCTGTGGGTCACCTTCTTTGATATACCCATACATTTATTTAGGTGAGATTCACAGGTACATTATATATATATATATATATATATATATATATATATATATATATATATATATATATATATATATATGGCCTATAAAAATATAAATCTTTTGAAAAATATCGAAATTATACGAATATTTATAATATTACAATAATATATTGGTCTATTATTTAAATATAATAAATAATAAATAAATAATGCAATGATATAATATTAATTATATTAATAATTGTATTATTATATATTTAATCTTTGATATACCGATACATTTATTTAGGTGAGATTTAGCACCCTTACTACAATATTCTTCTCATATAGTTTGGTCCAAATGATTCTCTGCACACTGTTACCAGTAAATTTAAAGCGATACGAGATTTGATTTCACCAATTATCCAATGTAAGGTCTCTAAATAACAGGATATCTTGCCATCCTGTTCTTCTTACAATGGATGGCGATGTTGGCGTTTGTATGTGAGTGTATGTTGGAGGAGGAGGGGGGTATAGTATCAGGTTCTATTTCAATGCTTCTCTAATAGAGTCTTCTGTAATCGATCACTTATGCCAAAACAGTTTAGCTCCCTATCTATGATACAATCATTTTTACTTATATTAAAAAAATCTATCTTGCAAGTGTTTCATCCAAGAAAAGGCATCGAGTTTATATGTGAACGAAGCTATTGATTATTGGGTTTTCCCCGATTACTTGATTAGAAAAACTTTTCTTGACTCTATGGTGAAGTTCCTTTTCAGGCTTGACAGTTTATATAAGGAAAAATAAAGTAGCTTTAACCTATTTTGCTCACTTCGAATATTGAATGGGTTGTAGGGCCAGCACTATTTAGAGCATTTAAAGCTTACAAAAATTGTAAATGTCCGACCTCCTAAAGATCTGTAGCATCAGAGATGTTATTAGATTTTATTTGAACTTTTTACTGTAATATTTCACCAAATATTTTTTTTAACATGCTGTACTCCTGGGTGTATTTGTTTTTTATTTTTCCAAGAAATTAGCTTGTACTATCTGCATTATTCTTTCCTGACTTTATATCTTTAATGATGATACGTTTATTGAATGTTATGCTGTTTTATTTACATATATTCTGCTAAATATTATGCGAAGCAACTATGACTTCATTGTTCCAGAACGCGAACTGATACAACCTACGGAGCAATGGTATACAGAGGCAATGGCCAGTTTACATTGGATGTTTTCTTAGCTTTCGATGCAAGTGGCTGGACAGATTTTATACACTGTATCCCAGTCAGTGGGTTTGGTCTAGAGTACTTCATCTTTACACTGAGGTAAGTTGTAAAGTACTTCATCTTTACACTGAAGTAAGTTGTAGTGTACTTCATCTTTACACTGAAGTAAGTTGTAGAGTACTTCCTCTTTACACTGAAGTAAGTTGTAGAGTACTTTATCTTTACAATAAGGTAAGTTGTATTGTAAAGTACATCATCTTTACACTGAGGTAAGTTGTAGAGTACTTCATTTTTACACTGAGGTAAGTTTTATAGTAGAGTACTTCATTTTTACACTGAAGAAAATTGTGTATAAAGTGCGTCGTCTTTAATACGAAAAAAAAGTGTGTATAGTACTTCATCCTATACAAATGGTAGTAAAGTGGTTTGACATGGTATGCTACAACAAATTTTTAGTGCAGGTTATAAATACAGAGAGCGTGTAGTCAAGAGTTTAATATTATATATTGATCTTATTAGTTGTTTCTTTAAAGCCCAATTAAAAAAATGTTCTAATTAAACGTAAGTATTTGTTCTAAATTGGTAGGTTCTATGTGATACATAAAGGAGAGGATGCTGACTTGTAAAAGTGTCAAGTGTTCGATGACCTCCAGGGTTTATTTTAGATTTTTTTTCTTGGGTGGGGGACTTTCTTCCCTGGACGGAATTTTTTTTTATAGAAAATCCCCCCACACCCTGTAGAAAAGTGTCTGAAAGAAACACCGATGACCACTCAAGGCAGGATGAACCAGTGTTTCGTCATTAATGGTGAGGTTTAATAAGAGGCGTAGCGACCCCTCCCTGCGCCCGGGGACAAACTTTCGACTTGGCGCCCCCCCCCCCCTATATTTTTATATTTATAATTCAAAATAGCAGCTAAAATGAGCTTATTTTGGCGCCCCTAGGGTCGGCGCCCGGGGACATATGTACCCCCCACTGCCCCCGGGTCGCTACGCCTCTGGGTTTAATCAGTCAGGGTCATCACACACGATGAAGTGTGGAACGGTACTGAGCAGCAGACACAATATTAGTGGGCGGAAGTGTTTTAGGGAACTCAACCTGTGGGTTGGGCAGATAAACATTACTGTAATGCTCATGTGTATGTTTGTAGGCAGTTCCCGACGTATGCAATAGTGTCTGGTCCAAACGACGTGTTTGTTCGACTGTATTATCGGAGTGTTGGCAAAGAGAAACTTCTCTCAATCATGTTACCAAGGTACACAATAGATCTGCTACAAAAACTATTAGATCTACTTATGTAGGGGTTGGTGGAGGGGTGGTGGGGGGGGGGGGGGGGGGAATGGGGGGGGGGGGGTTGAAGGCGAATCGGACTTTTATAATGATGTTAGACCAGGAATGTCATACTTTAGCATTTTTTGTACATATTTTTTAAAACTTGATATTAGCGGTTTTTAAAAATACATTTTGTTCATTTTTATCAAGATATAGAGTTAAATATTGACCCATATTACCAAATCTATGGTATTAATAAAAAGATATACGAGATTTCTTTAACAAGGGAAACTACTCAATTAACATTTTCGTAAAAATAATAGCCTTGTTATATCCCCTTATTCTAAAATAAAGATTTCCTTAAAAAAAATTTAGTTTATAGGAAAAAAGTAAAAAAAAAAATTACTAATTTTTTCTGAGATATGTAATAAGAACAATTTGTTACTAGTTTTTACTGAGGTATGTTATAAGATCAATTTGTTACATATAATGCAGGGAGCGGGCGTATGTGTCTTCAGATTGCCTGAATACTGCGGGCACGCGAGATGCCAAGGAAGGTTGGTCTTTCACTAATTACCCTAATTTATCGACTAATTTAACTTTAATTATATTAATTACCCCTAATTTATCGACTAATTTAACTTTAATTATGTTAATTACCCCTAATTTCTCGACTAATTTAACTTTAATTATGTTAATTGCCCCTAATTTATCGACCAATTAACTTTAATCATGTCAAAGGCGTAGCGAGGGGGGGCGGGGGGTGCGGACCGCACCGGGTGACACCATTTAGGGGGGGTGACACCAAGGCAAAAAATAGCAAAATATAAAGAGAAAAACTTGAGGGGGGGGGGGTGCAAATCGAAAGTTTGAGGGGGGGGGGGGTGCAAATCGAAAATTTGAAAGTTTGTCCCCGGGAAGTTTCGCTACGTCTCTGGGGGTGACACCATTAAGTGCCGCACCGGGTGACACCCGACCTCGCTACGCCACTGATTTATCGACTACTCAACTTTAATTATATAAAGTTTCCCTTAATTAATATATTACTGTAGCCTTAAATGTATTTTCTTAAAAAAAAATCATAATATATCAAATGCGGTTAGTAAATTTTTTTAATGGTGCCTGCTTAATATATATAAAGAAAGCTACTATTTTTTGGACGCGATGATCAATAAGAAAGAGGTTACTTGTGTGGTCAGTTCTATGGTCAGCAACCTTAAGTCAGGGCCCATCAGAGTTGGTTGGAACTGGAGACTTTAGAGTTAGCCATCATGTGATCTGTAGCTCGGCCATGCTAATAGAATTAATGAAATAAAGAATTAATGAACTAAAGAATTAATGAAATAAAGATATAATGAGCTAAAGAATTAATGAACTAAAGAACTAATGAGCTAAAGAATTAATGAACTTAAGAATTAAACAACTAAAGAATTAATGAACTAAAGAATTAATGAACTAAAGAATTAATGAAATAAAGAATTAATGAACTAAAGAATTGATGAAATAAAGAACTAATGAGCTAAAGAATTAATGAACTAAAGAATTAATGAGCTAAAGAATTAATGAAATAAAGAATTAATGAACTAAAGAAGTAATGAAATAAAGAATTAATGAGCTAAAGAATTAATGAACTAAAGAATTATACAACTAAAGAATTAATTAAATAAAGAATTAAACAACTAAAGAATTAATGAAATAAAGAATTAAACAACTAAAGAATTAATGAAATAAAGAATTAATGAACTAAAGAATTAATGAAATAAAGAATTAATGAGCTAAATAATTATTGAACTGTACTAGAAAATGTATCGAGACGACACGCAACTTTGACGATTGTTACCTCCCCTTACTTCTCCGTCACACATCGTCACAAAAAGCGGGACCCCCCCCCCCCCTATAAAATGACTTCACACCTCAGCCCAGAACCCCCTTTATAATTGCAGTTGACCTTTTCTTAAAACATCGATTTTTTTTTAATTTTAATTTGTATTAAAATTTATTAAAACAGTTTTCTAAAGTTCGTTTTCTAACACTACTTTGTTTATAACGCAAAAGTGTGGCATCACACAACCACACCCCTTCCCCCTCCTCATCATACACTGTCATAAAATAACCAACCTCCCCCTCCCTTACAAGTGTGACGTCAATTATTAGGCTGCATGGCGAGGTAGGTCTGGCGTTTTATTTTAACAACCTTGTGACCTTTAACCTTTAACGTGTTATGTGTATCCCTACCTGACCAGACATTTACATCAGGAGCGACCACCCAGTTGGGGTCGTAGCGGGCAGCTGTAGGGCCGCGGCTTTATCCAACAACAATCATCAGTGTGCGCCCACAACAAGGAGAAACATTGTATTAGGTGAGAAATTTAGGCTTTTTACAAGCTTTTATTTAACTCACTTCCTCTGTCGTCAGTCTGTCTAGATCGAAACGGCCGAGCGAAATTGCAGGCACTTCTAACTGACAGATACGGTTCGTAATTGGTACGTGGGTCAAGACATAAAGACAATGCATCGTGACATTAAATTTGACGCAATTGGTCGCCTGATTAATTTTTTATGAATTAATTAAAATTTTGACCAAATTAGTAGGCAGTTCTATCCACACGCGTCATTGTTTCTTCTTAACTAACACTCAGTTGACTTATATTTCAACATTTTTAAGCGTTTTTGTCACGAACTAGGCTAATTTTTTATTTTTTTTTTAACACGGGATTAACTGACCAAGCGCCTGTATTAAAAACAGGAATTCATTTTGGTAGATTAAAATTGGTTTGCAGAAGAAAAAAAAATTAAAAATTAAAAAATATAAAAAAAAAAAAAAAAACAGCGTACAGATATTGCATACTAAAGACTTACTGCCACTTTCATTTAAGACATGCTACTTCCTGCCGAGACTTTCGGTAAAACATTCCTGATTCCGAATGTGGGTGTGGCAGGAACTGAGCGTTACGTCATTGTCGTGGCCTCTGTGACGTACACACGAGTAGAGATCTCGACGTCACATTTCAGAGATTCTCACTTCACAAATTTAGAAAGAGAAGGCCAGTCTATGCACGTAAACATATCTTTGTAGATTTAGTAAATGTTTTAAGATCTCTTTAATAAAGTCAGTGGCGTAGCGAGGTCGGGTGTTACCCGGTGCGGCACTTAATGGTGTCACCCCCCACAGGCATAGCGACCCTTCCCGGGGACAAACTTCAAATTTTCGATTTGCGCCCTCCCCCCCCCCCCCTCTCTCCCCTCAAACTTTCGATTTGAACCCCCCCCCCCCCCTCAAACTTTCGATTTGCACTCCCCCCTCAAGTTTTTCTCTATATATTTTGCTATTTTTTTGCCTTGGTGTCACCCCCCTAAATGGTGTCACACTGTGCGGTCCGCACCCCCGCTACGCCTTTGAATAAAGAAGATTGTGAAGAACTAACAAATGAGCATTTTTTTAGGGACGCCCTAATTGTATGCATTTCCTTAACAGTAAACAAAGTAGTAACGTTTATACCTTAAAGTATAGATCCAGGCTTATAGGCTGAACATAAAGGGTATTTAATATTGAAAGTAGATTTTCCCCCACCGTTTTAATTTATAATCATAAAAACACAAGAACTCCTCGTGTATTAAAAGAAAAGTAATATGAAGCTCTTTTGTCCGTCTACATAGATTTGTCAGGGGGAAATAATTCAAGAAAGATCCTGGTGTTTTGATGGCAATAAAACATCAATACAAATAAATCTTTCTCGAGCAGTGTTTCTTTCAGATTTTTTTCTCCAGGGGGCGGGGCTTACCCTGTTAATAGTATATATTTTCTATATAAATTCCATTTCGTTCCTGTGCAGAGTTTCTTCCAGGCATCTCTTCGGGGAGTTTGCAATGTAAATGTATCTCTACCATTGAGCGAATGACGTGTAATATTGTATAGATAGTGTAGTCTGCATTGTGCCCCAGTACTTGCGTCAGTTCCGTTTTTTTATTTTCTGACGTGCCTGCTGTACGACTGCTTTACTCATAGAGATTGTTATCATTGAACAAAAACAAAACGTTATAGAAAAAAATATCAAATATGCCTAGGATAAGTAAAGAAAGGGTTCATTTATATTTTAAGAAATATTTTTGCAGCCTTTGAACACGTTACAAACAAAATATTTTTACTCTTGAAGTACATGCTCAAAGACTCACATCTTGTAAAGGCAGACAACCCAGTCATGTGTTACCTGTTGGTGCAGGGGTCGTGCTTGAACAGGGATGTCAGTATATCAATGACTAGTATCACACCCACAGCTCTGTTCTACAACACCTACACATGGAAGTAAGTTGGGTTGGTATACAACACCTACACATGGAAGTAAGTTGGGTTGGTATACAACACCTACACGTGGGAGTAAGTTGGGTTGGTATACAACACCTACACATGGAAGTAAGTTGGGTTGGTATACAACACCTACACATGGAAGTAAGTTGGGTTGGTATACAACACCTACACACGGAAGTAAGTTGGGTTGGTAGAATCTATACAACACCTACACATGGAAGTAAGTTGGGTTGGTAGAATCTATACAACACCTACACATGGAAGTAAGTTGGGTTGGTAGAATCTATACAACACCTACACATGGAAGTAAGTTGGGTTGGTAGAATCTATACAACACCTACACATGGAAGTAAGTTGGTATACAACACCTACACTTGGAAGTAAGTTGGGTTGGTATACAACACCTACACATGGTAGCAAGTTGGGTTGGTATACAACACCTACACATGGAAGTAAGTTGGTTGGTATACAACAACTACACATGGAAGTAAGTTGGGTTGGTATACAACAACTATACATCAAAGTAAGTTGGTTGGTATACAACACCTACACATGGAAGTAAGTTGGTTGGTATACAACAACTACATGTGGAAGTAAGTTGGGTTGGTATACAACACCTACACATGGTAGCAAGTTGGGTTGGTATACAACACCTACATATGGAAGTAAGTTGGGTTGGTATACAACACCTCCACATGGAAGTAAGTTGGGTTGGTATACAATACCTACACATGGAAGTAAGTTGGGTTGGTATACAACACCTACATATGGAAGTAAGTTGGGTTGGTATACAGTACATTGATCACAACAAGAGGCTATTGATAAACCTGAAATGTTGAAGTAAATTAGAGAGTGGGGAATCTCAAACACAAACACATAAATGTATATATATATATATATATATATATATATATATATATATATATATATATATATATATATATATATATATATATATATATATATATATATATATATATATATATATATATATATATATATATGGTTTGATTATGTATATGATTAGCTATATGCATATAAATATATAATTATGTATATAAAAAGGTTATTAGTTACAATAGAAGACCTGTGATTTTATAACTTCATAAAAATATATCAACTACTATTTTTATTATCTCTTGACATTGAACCATTGTGTGTACATAGTTCGATGTACCCTTCAGTGGAAAACTTGAAGGTCTACGTAGCTCTGATTGTTCATGTTGCTGACAAGAATTACATAGTCTTTAACGAGGAGTCAGGCAAGTAAGTCTAACATGTTTTAAAAATTGGAAACCAAACATTTGTCACACCCCATCTTCACTTCCTCAAATATTATTTTAACTATTTTTCTAGATAAATCTGATAGTAATAACTGTTATAGACAATTATGCTTGAGCATTAATGAACATTTAAAACATACTGTATACCCACAATTGTTTTTTGTATATTATTAGCTATAACAAAACTTTAGTTTAGGCTACTATTTTTCACTAATAATACATCAACATAGTTCAGAGAAATAGATAGTTACAGATTTGATTTTATCTAATTTGAGAAAATGGGCGTGGAAAAGTGTTCAAGGTGATCGATTCTGGAACACCATATCAAAAGAAGTAGAAGAAGACGTTGGCTTTGCTTACATGCAGGGTCGACAGTTTGGATTTGGCTGCTACATCTACAGCTTTCAGGATAATCTAAACTACATACAAAACAGAGGCTTCATTGTTACATCCCTCGCCAAAGTAGGCTAATTTTGTATCTTTTACAAGATTTACAATTACTTATTATAAGTTGATGTGTTGGAAGGGTGCAAACTCAATGTCAAGGGTGGGTTTTGTTAATATAAACATCACTACCTATACCCTATTTCTCATAATTTTCTTGTAAAACTTAGTTCTAAACCTAAATGACAAAATCCTATATTGCCCTTTAGTGTCAATGTGTTTTTATTTTTACAAGATCTCATATCTATAACCTATATTTAATTATATAATAATATGGGCTTTATATAGACCTATCTATATAGGTAGCATACACACAAATATAGCCTATGCATAATAAACAAATATATACATAGAGATCTAGGCCTTATCATTTGACATCTTTTTAAACTAATTCACTTTATGCATGCGCCTATAACATATAACAGTAAATTGTCTATTGCATTGCTGTTTTTTTAAACTGTGTACCAAGGTTGGTGACTGTGCTCAGACAATGAAAGAAATGAATGAATCTGATCTGGTGGATAATGACTGTGATTCCCTGTATGATGAGGAAATGGCCAACAGGTTAGGTAGGAAAATTTACTTGGTCTCCGTAAAAATTATTTGGTCTGTTTATTTAAACGTTGCACCATAAAAAGTTTTTTGAAAATCTTTGGCGCAGGTTGTATATTTGGACACTTCTTAATTGTTTTAATTGGTTGTATAATAATTAAGGCCCTCCAAGCTCTCTTAGGTTAAATACATCTTAGCAGTGGATTGAAAAAATTGTTTTGATAAACAATACACTCCTTAGGACGGCATGGTTGAATGATAGAGCGTTTGACTACAAACCCAATAGGTTTAAGTTCATAGGTCAATCAAGAGTTCACCAAGCTCTGATTGGTATCTGATTCATGTTAAAGAAAGTAAAGACATCTGGGAATAATGCAGACCACACTATCCCTTTATATGTAGAGAATCTACCCCATGGGCTTTATGGTTCAAAAGGGAACTTTAAATTCCATGAGTAAGCCTACTATTTTATTTTACTGTTTCAGAAATGTCATTTTAAAAATAAATTCTAATACTGTTTTTAGGTTTTACTACACTACTGTTTTTTTTTGCCTGTCATTTATTTTTTGCAGATGATGATAGTGATGGGCTAGTAGATGAGGATACTGCAGTCAACTTGATAGGTGTGTGGCAAGTTTAATTGTAGGAAACTTCTGTAAAAATCATACATTCTTCAAATACTTGCTGAATAATTAAAACTATAACTCTCTGCATTTTTCCTAAAAACCTTAATTCTGTTTCAGTTAAACCAATATTTTCTAGTAATAATTAAACTAAAATTTAAACAGCTGGTGACCTTTCTTTTTGAAAATGTATACAAAATACTGTGTTTATGAGTTCAGACATGTAGGCCAGTACATCTTGGATCAAATGTCTTAGTCTTAAAAATCAGATGTGGACTGAAACTAAATATACTATATCCCAGCAAACAAATGAGAAAGTTGATGTTTAATACAAATACATATCACAACAGCAGATATTTTTATTTCACTGTCTCCTCAATGTAAACAAATTTAAAACTTATTTAAGTTTACATTAGAAGCAAGGTAATGGATTTATTATTTAATCTAAATTGTTTTTTTATACTCAGTGAGTATGGATTGAATTTTTATAACACAACGGAATTTTTTTTTCTTTCACATCCAGTGGACGGCCAGTGGGGAGAGTGGGGGCCCTGGGAGTGTGAGGCACCCTGTGGGGTGTCACCCTTCATCTCACGCAGGTAACTTGGTTGTACAGGTAACAGGCGCCCTGTGGGGTGTCACCCTTCATCTCACGCAGGTAACTTGATTGTACAGGTAACAGGCGCCCTGTGGGGTGTCACCCTTCATCTCACGCAGGTAACTTGGTTGTACAGGTAACAGGCGCCCTGTGGGGTGTCACCCTTCATCTCACGCAGGTAACTTGATTGTACAGGTAACAGGCGCCCTGTGGGGTGTCACCCTTCATTTCACGCAGGTAACTTGGTTGTACAGGTAACAGGCGCCCTGTGGGGTGTCACCCTTCATCTCACGCAGGTAACTTGATTGTACAGGTAACAGGCGCCCTGTGGGGTGTCACCCTTCATCTCACGCAGGTAACTTGGTTGTACAGGTAACAGGCGCCCTGTGGGGTGTCACCCTTCATCTCACGCAGGTAACTTGATTGTACAGGTAACAGGCGCCCTGTGGGGTGTCACCCTTCATCTCACGCAGGTAACTTGGTTGTACAGGTAACAGGCGCCCTGTGGGGTGTCACCCTTCATCTCACGCAGGTAACTTGGTTGTACAGGTAACAGGCGCCCTGTGGGGTGTCACCCTTCATCTCACGCAGGTACAGAGGCATAGCGAGGGGGGGGGGGGCAGGGGGGGGGACATATGTCCCCGGGCGCCGACCTTAGGGGGGGTGCAAATCGAAAGTTTGAGGGGGGGGGTGCAAATCGAAAATTTGCTCCCGAGGGGGGGCGCCAAATTGAAAGTATGTCCCCGGGCGCCGGCAAGGGTCGCTACGCCTCTGCGCAGGTAACTTGGTTGTACAGGTAACAGGCGCCCTGTGGGGTGTCACCCAGGTAATTTGGCTGTACAGGCCATCCTGTATCAACAGATACACCATTAAGTTTTATAAGTTGTGTTATAAAGTATTGTAAGCTAAAAACTTGAAGATAATAAATATAAAAAAGTAAATCTCAAACATAGTTATTCTAAAGTTAAACACATTTATTTTATAATTAAAAAAAAATTGAAGGCCTATTTATAAAAAAAATACAAAATTTAATGTAAAATTATCATAAAATTCAGACAATTGAATTGTAAGTAAAAAAAAGCATAGACCTAGACCAGGGGTCAGCAACCTTTTGAAGCGGAAGAGCCAAAAGTTACAAAATTTCCCTGGTTTTAAAGAGCCATTAACATTTTTTTATTTCAAATATTTTTTTTTTTTTATGAAGATTATTAGTATTTGTGCAAGGAGCTGGAGAGCCGCATCTTGATATCAAAAGAGCCGCATGCGGCTCGCGAGCCGCAGGTTGCCGACCCCTGACCTAGACTATAATTCATTAAAATTAAATTAAGATTATTTTTCTACTTTTTGTTAAGAAGATAATTTAAATAGAAAATAAATGCGTAGAATGTGTTTTGTGTCTTGAAGGGCGTGCAACAAACCAGCACCACAGAGGATGGGGGCACCTTGTACAGGACATCACATCAAGAAAAACAAGGCTCTATGTAGAGCGCTGGGGGCATGTGGTCAAAGTAGGTTTAATATCACCACCACCCCTTTTAAATCCTCTTCTTCTTCTTCGTTCTTAATTTTTAGTGTTGGGAGGGATCGAGCCTTATCTGCCAGAGGGTTTGAACTCGAGACTTTTTTCGAATTTATCAACCATGTGCTTTGCCGACTCAACCACGCCGACCCCCCTTTTAAATGATGTCACAACATTCTCTCCATCCCCCTTCCCCCAATCATAATTAATCAAGACTCGAAAATCAACATTTTGTTCTTAAAATAAACACAATTATTTTAAAATTTTACATTGTAATACATTTTGATAGAAATCTTTATCCCCCAACCCCCATTACTTATGTGCAACATGATTAACTACAATCCCAAAAATTAAAATATTAACTAAAAGGTTAGTATTGCAATAAAACATTAAATTTATTGAAATTGAAAAACAATTGTTAGAAATTATCTCGCAACTTCATTCATTATACTTCAAGTTCAAGTATACTAAACTAACATTTTTCAATCATTGTTTTTTTTATCAATTGAAATATTGGAATATTTTTTTCAAACTGCTAAATTAAATGAAAATTTAAATAAACAAAATTCGAAAACAAAATCAAACTGAGCTGCTGGTTATAAACCAGTCCATTTGAATTATTTGATTTTACCCAGCACTAATGAGTACCTATCACATTTTAGCTCTGTACTACAATATCTGTTATTGTACTTCACCGATGCTACTTTTAATGCAGAAATAGGTAGTTTGGCATAAAAATAATCCCACCATTTTATTTAAACCTACTACTATTGCTTATTCCAGAATTAATATACTGTGATACCTTTAAATTATAAACTTTTTTATAATAAAGTCTGTGATAGGCAAGTCAACAAATCAAACTTACAATAAAACAATAAATCCTCTACTCTCTAGAGTGTGACAAAGGTTACTATGGTTTCGGCTGTGCGTACACCTGCAGCAACTGTGTCAATGGCTGTGACCCGGTCAACGGGTCATGTGACATGTGCTCACCTGGCTGGACAGACCCGCACCTCGGATGTTCCTCACGTAATGTTCTATTATCCATACTGTAATGTTCTGCATTCATAACCCTCATTTTGATGTTCTACATCCATAACCCCCAACATTTTAATGTTCTACATCCATAACCCTCATTTTGATGTTCTACATCCATACCCCTCATTATAATGTTCTATATCCATACCACTCATTATAATGTTCTATATCCATACCACTCATTATAATGTTCTATATCCATACCCCTCATTATAATGTTCTACATTCATACCCCTCATTTTAATGTTCTACATCCATAACCCCCAACATTTTAATGTTCTACATTCATACCCCTCATTTTAATGTTCTACATCCATACCCCCTATTTTAATGTTCTACATTCATTACCCCCAACATTTTAATGTTCTATATCAATACCCAGATTATAAAGTATAATATCCATTAAACATTTTTCTACTCAAAATCCTTTTTAATGTTACTATAAATCTTAAATCTTTTATATTGCGACATTCAGCTAAATCATTATCGCCAAATTAATTATCATTGAAAATCTCCTCAGCTTGCTCTAAGTGAACCTACGTTAAACAGTTTACATTTAGTTAAATCACCAAATAATTATCGTTGAAAATCTCCTCAGCTTGCCCTAAGTGGACCTACGTTAAACAGTTTACATTTAGTTAAATCACCAAATAATTATCGTTGAAAATCTCCTCAGCTTGCCCTAAGTGGACCTACGTTAAACAGTTTACATTTAGTTAAATCACCAAATAATTATCGTTATAAATCTCCACAGCTTGCCCTAAGTGGACCTACATTAAACATTTTACATTTAGTTAAATTACCAAATAATTATCGTTATAAATCTCCACAGCTTGCCCTAAGTGGACCTACGGCCTACAATGTCAACAGCTTTGTGAGCCCAAATGTGGCGTAGACTGCACTGAACGTGTGACTGGAAAATGTCCAGGTTAGAAAATTGTAAAACTCACAGTTCGATTCTGATAGCTGCACAGTTTAGCTGTAGTGCTCATAATTAATTAGTTAATTCTCAGTATTGCCTGTCTATTTAAATTTGCTGTTTGTTACCTAAGCTGTTTGTTTTCTGTGCCACTCATTTTAACATTCATTTACATATTTACATGCATAAATAAGTGTGTATAAATAAGTTTGTATGTAGGCCATGTAAGTATATATATATATATATATATATATATATATATATATATATATATATATATATATATATATATATATATATATATATATATATATATATGTATATATATATATATATATATATATATATATATATATATAATTTATGTAGTGTGTATTTATGCATTACCAAGGCGCATGCAATTTTATAGTTTTATCAAATGATTAAATGATATGTTATAAATAGAAAAACAAATATGAATTTGTATAAGGAGAGAAACAGAAATTAGTTAAAATGTTTGTTAGTTGTAATTATCATTTTTCCAATTTTCTAGCATCCAAAATGTTTTTCATGTTTGCACTATGGGTGGACTTGATGTTGGTAGTGTTAACCATTTCGTTCATTCTTTATTGGTAAGTTTTTAATGTTGACATTTTAAACTAATATATTCATGGTAAGTTTGAAATATTAACATTTTAAACTAATGTATTATTGGTAAAATATAATGTTCATATTTTAAACTAATGTATTTTTTGTTAGTTATAGCACTGATAGTTACCTTCATGACATGGATAAACAAAATGTTGAAATATGACAAAAAAATAAGAATCATACAAGAGTTAAGATAGAAGAAAAGTGATCAAGAATATTATGGTACAATGTCCAGTTAGAATTCTGACTGATTCATTAATAATATATTGTTTATCTAATCTTGTGACCCTTAAAAGAAATAAAGAAGAGTTAATCAGTTATAGCAAAAACCTTTACCTGTAGCTTTTAGTATAACTGATCTAAGGCAGGTGGGTTTTATGTCGTACCTTCCTCATCATCTTTTCTCATTCATGACCAAGACACATGGGGCAGATGAAGTAGAGTTCTTCAGTTTCAGAGACCTCAGCATATGAAGAGATAGTGTGGTTAGCACTATGCCCAGTCGCCTTTGCTTTCTCTAAAGTGAGTTTGATACCCATCAGAGCTTGGTGGACTCAGGGATGCTCTACTGTCTCAAACTAGAGACTTTCAGGTTATCAGTCTAGCTCTCTACCACTAGGCCATGCCGTCCCATACCTTGATGCATTGAAATGAATCCAAAGGAATTTGGGAACTAAACTAAAATAAAAATCTAATTAGTTATTAAATGGTTTTATTTATCATGAAGATGGATGGTAAGTTCTTTTATTAACATAGTGTCAAGGCATTGAAATAGCATGTCAATATTGCTATATCTTTTTATCATTGCCTTCCATATCAATACTTTCATGTAACAAATTATTAGAAGTTCTATACTGATCCATTATTAGCTCGCATGATATATGAAAATAGAGATTTTAAACTTCAGACATGCAACTATTACCCATTATAAATTTCTAACAGAGATAAATGTATATTTCAGGACCCATGGTGGCACCCGTGTCCATATCTTAATGCTATGGTCGGCTCTTCGACGCAAGAACTACGTCTGGAGGTACAAGACCTCTAAAGGCAAGGAAATAGAGGTCCTGGCAACAAGGTCCTTCTACAAGACCTACAAGTCCAGGCCAGACCAGCTGGTACAGCTGACACCCCTGCCTACTGCTAAAATAGTCTCAAAAAGTGTTTTATTTGCCAGAAACAAACACGGTGAAGAAGGCAAGGACGCTGATGAATTATCCAGCGCTGCTTCTATTACAATAGAGACTTTATCTATTGTGGCTCCTGCAACTAGCAGGTCAGGCAACAGATTATCTTCCTCCAAGCCATTAGATAAGAGAATGCCTTCTTCAACTAACATAGATTTTTCCAAACCATTAAAAAACAAAATATCTATCAGCAAGGAATCGCTTTCGAAGCCAACAACAACCAAAATCTCGTCCTCGGCGCAATCAATTCAAGTATCCCCCACAAAAGAACTTACTTTAATCCATAATGCCATTATTACTCCTATTGCTGAGGAGTTTTCTAGAGAAAAATCTCCTAAAGCTAAGCCATCCAGTTCCAAAAGTGCTTTAAGAAATATGCCATTCACCAAATCAGCAGACGCTAAAGAATCAAAATCAACAAAATCTTCTTCTAAAAATGAAACAGAAAAGTCTAAACCCTCTTCTAAAAAAGAATCAGAAAAATCTAAACCTTCTTCTAAGAAAGAATCAGAGAAGTCTAAACCCTCCTCTAAGAAAGAATCAGAAAAGCCTAAATCCTCTTCTAAGAAAGAACCAGAAAAGTCCAAATCCTCTTCTAAGAAAGAACCAGAAAAGTCCAAATCCTCTTCTAAGAAAGAACCAGAAAAGTCCAAATCCTCTTCTAAGAAAGAACAAGAAAAGTCCAAATCCTCTTCTAAGAAAGAACCAGAAAAATCCAAATCCTCTTCTAAGAAATGAATCAGAAAAAAAAAAGATAAAAAGAAAGCAAAACCTCAGAACAAATTCAAACAAGAGCAGAAGACATCTAAAATTAGAGATCTGTAGAACTGATAAGTCTCCAAGATTTGGTTTAAGATTGACAAACAATGGCATAGTAAGCAAGAGTGAGTGTCAAAACTAAGAATTAAATGACTGTGATATTTGCACTGCTACATGTAAGACAGCAAGAAATATGGCAAATTAATAAATGCCCAACTAGACTTTACTTTTAAGATATATATAATAATTACTTATATTAAAAAGATTAACTTTGACTTAGGTTTTATATAAAGTTTATTGACCACATTTTGGTAATTTTCAAACTTTAAAATCTATACTAGATCTATTTCTCTTTATATTTATCAGGATTTCTTTTTACTGTTGTATTGTAATATAAACACAAAGTACTAAAAATAAAACCATTCTTGGATGGATATACATTTGTTTTTTTTTTAGATATTTAAGAAGAAATGTTTGTGGCTTTATATCAGTGTCCTGTCATTGTCACCTTTAAGATCTTATATATTGTGTTTAAGATTGGACTACTTTCTTTTACTAAGTTTATACCAATGATCTTGCACTATTAATACATATACACAGAAATAACTTAGCAGTCTTAATGAATTGTCTTATAATGATTGGGTGATGATAAACTAAAAACTAAATCAAAAATGATTTATTATTCAGTGTTTTAATGAAATTAATTGTTATAATTAAATCACACTATGCTTGGAACTAAAACAATTGATTATAAATACAATAAATAAAAACAAAACATATAAAAGACAGTGTTAACCTTGAAACCTCTTCACCTTTTCTGTGACAAAATGTTACCAAAGTTTACTTTTTCTAAATATTATTAAATATTCATCAAGATGTATAACTTAAACAAATTATGTAGAGTTATACTTGATGTAATTAAATTCTATATTATAATAACACTAATTAAACATAATGACTAATTATTCAAAAGTGTAAATAATTTGAAAATTATTTCATCTGATTAATTATATGACAGTTATAACTATAATAACTAGTACTGTGTTTTAATTATACTGGAATTGAAGTATTCAAACATTTGCAAGAAAACAAGAAAATTGAGAACAATTTGACAACAGAGCTTTACCAGCAGCATACTTTAATTTGACAAATAGTCTATCATCAGTTTTCATTACAACAACTGTGCTACACCCATCTGCTGAATCATTGCGCTCAGTCTTCATGTAACTAACTTCATTTTCACACACAGGAGAGCTATGTACCATTTCTAAATACAGTGAGCCACTGTTGATTTGCTTAAAACTAAAGTGAGCAACGTACAGACCATCAACAGGGGCAGTAAATACTCCCAATTCTGGGTTAAACCCATTTCCTACATTGCAGAATATGCAGTTATATCCCTTAATTATAGTGTTGTGAAGAAATTTGCACACTTCATAGAAAGAAGCTGTAAAACCTATGAAAACACCTTCCTGTTTTGGTTTCAGTTCTGAAATAAAAAGACATTGAAATTGTTGGTGCTGGCAGATATCTTGATTGCTTGCGCAGATTCTAAGCTTGAGTCAGTCAGATAAGCCAAAGTCTACCTTGTTCTGATATTACCTAGGGTAACTTAAACTCTACCTGCTCTATTGAAATAAAGACAATGAATTGTTTATCAGATTACAGATACTTACGCAATGTGTGTAATTCCTGTGTTAAATTTGTTAAATCTTTTTGTAGCAGACTAAGCTGTGGAATTTTAAAATATTTACACAGTTAACGATAATGCAAGTTTATATAATTCATTTGTGATTAGCCTGTCAAAAAGTAGCATTAACAATGTAGATAAATTACATTATTTAAATTGTATACTTGTTACTGCTTTACAAAATGTATGTTACAAACAATTATTACATTTTTGTTACCAATTTATAAATTATAGGTAAATTACCTCAATATACATAATGAAATAAATTGTATAGCTATTAAATGCTTAATGTAGGTAGATTATGCACTGTTTGTTATATTTTGTGTATATTATATTGGTAACTAGTAATATTATTTAGGTAAATTACCTGATTGTTATTGAATTTGGTACTTATTACTGCTTTGTTAATAGCAGGAAATAATTTTTCAATGGGCAACAATTTGTGTAGAAATAGTCTGCACAACACGCTGTTCTAAACAAAAAAGTAAACAACTTATAAAAAAAATTTTTTTAAAGATTAAAATATAAAGTGAAATGAAAAAGTAGGAGTTTTTATGATTAAACAGCTGACAAATAGAACAACCAATAAAAAAAAATACCATATTTCAATTTGTATACCTTTGAATCTACTTTATTCAGCTGCTCTTCAAAAGTAGTTTTTGTTTGTTTTGATTCAACTTCAAGTTTACCAACAGCACTGTACATATGTTTAATTTCTTCTCTTGTTACTTCAGTCAATTCTGTCAATGAAACAACCTTGGTGGACACCTGTGTTAATTCTTCTTCTGTATTTGCTAAAGCTGTACACATACTGTTCATTTCTTCTCTAGTTGTTTCAGAGCTATCATTCAAAGAAATAACCTTAGTATGTAACTGTGCTAGATCTTGTTCTGTACTAGCTATAGCTTTACACACACTCTCAAGCTTTTTGCTATCCTTTTGTTCTCTAATCAAAATTTCTCTAACTTCAAGCTGCACATCTGTTAGTTTAGCCCCTAAATCTTTAATTTTTTTAATGCAGTTTTTGGTTCTTCCTCGTTGATCCCCATCTAACTCCTCTAGTTTGTTCTCTGTCTGACCTTGCCATGTTACAATCTCATTTTTCCACAGCTTGGTTTCTTTCTCTTCATCCTGTAGCTGCTGAGTTGTGTCCCTTAAAGAAGAAACATTATCTTCCAATGCTTCCAGTCTTGATATAATTTTCTTGTAACTTTCAGCTGTCAACAGAAGGCATAGTTTTATTTTTTACTTACAGGTATACAGCAGAACTTCATAAGAAATACACACCTAAAGTTGAAGCAACTTATAAAAATATTTAAAGACAAAATGTAATTACATTATAATAATGCAAATACAAAATAACTCACAATTTAAAATAATGACCTACAAAAGAACTCAAATCCAAATTTCAAATAGGCTGTTGCATTATAAAATGATAATTTGTTGGTGTATTTATTTAAGTATGCTTTTCTTATGTTGGCTGGACATAGTGCCAACCACATTATTCTTCTGTAGGCAGAGGTCACAAAATACAGATGAATTCTACCTCACTTTCCCCATACACTGTTAGGTTTGAAAAGGGAGCTTACTTTACCTTACTTTCTTTCATAATGAGTTCTTACACCATGTTCACACTTGCAACATGTAGGCCTATACTATACACATCTAAAAAAAAAATTAGCAATAAGTGAGGAGCCTACTTTACATTTTCTGATAAAATTTACTTATGTTGAAGCTTTTTTTTCTAGACGTGTATACATGTGGCTAGTGTAAACGCAGTGTTAGATTCCGAATAAAGAATAATAACCTTAACGGAAATATGAATTTCCAAAATTTTTTTGTATTTGTAATTAAAAAAACAATTAATAAAAAAACTGAATGGCTTGTAAGAACTAACCCATAATGTATGATAACAATAGAAGGAAGACATGTAAATGGTGTGGAGAAACTTGTTTACTTTGGCAGCAAGATGAGCCCATCATGAGGCACAGAGGAGAACATCCATGCTAGAATTTTGAGTTCGCTACCCTTTGCGACACTTGAGGAAAAATTCAACCATCTCCAACACAACCAATATTAGGATTCTAAATTCAAATGACGAGGTTGTCTTGTTAAATGGAGGACAGGCAAGGAGTCTTCAAGACCAACAAAGACAAGATTTAGACTTTCTTTAACAAATTTTTATGTCAGAACCTGAGATTGAGGTGTCAGGACAAAGTGAAAAACATAGACTTGTGAAGAAGAACAAGGCATAATCCCATGACACTGCCAATAATGAGGAAGTGGCGCTAAGTGAGGTGCACATATGTGTAACGCATCAGTGGAACTCCTAGGTGAAACAAAAGAGAAAGTGCGCAAGACTGAACGGAGATGGAGTCTTCTTGAAGAACTAAAGAGCAGCTAGATGTCTTGGAACACTGCAAAATACACAGCTGGGGCGGCAGAAAAAGTGAAAGATTATGGTTGAGTAAAGAGGACTAAGTAAAGTAAGTCAAGACAAAGTTTGATAGTTTAATAAATCTGTTGATTACATAAAGGTAATCTTACACATTCTGACATTAGATTCATTAGAATATCTTACACCTTCAGATGTTAAAATACACCTATTCTTCTCTACACATTTATGTGCAAAATACAAAATTACCTTTTTCGCACGAATCAACAGACATTTTTTTAACAGGCGCCAGATCTACCACATTTAATTCTTCATCCTTTCTGGTGGCTTCTGGATTTTAAAAATAAAGAAGAAAAAAATGAAACAATATGTTTATGTTTGGCCTTAGAAGTGAAAATCAAATTAGAAATTTAAACTGGGAACTGAGAGAAAGAAGATAGAATAGGATAGGGGAAAAAATGTATTTATTAGTAAAGTAAAAAGTAAAGTTCCCTTTTCAAACCTGATATAGGGCAAGTGAAGTAGACTTCACTTGTTTCTGTGACCTCGGCATATAAAGAGATAGTGTGGTCAGCACTATGCGCAGCCACCTTTACTTTTCCTAACGCGAGTTAGGTACCCATCAGAGTTGGGTGGACTCAGGGACGGTATATAGACTTGAACCTGGATTCGAACTCTAGACTTACAGATTAGCAGTCAGTCTTTATTATATTTAACAATATATTTGAACTTAACTAATATGGTCTATTACATAATTCACACTGAAAAGTTTTTAGAAAATGTAATATTAACAGGCTAATAAAAAATTATATTTTTGTGTTTGAACTACCTGTTAAACAGTTGATAAGACCAAGCAGTTTCCTGCTACCTGCTGATACAACAGAATGGACCTCTTCAAATGTCAGATAACTTTTGTCTACTGCTGTGATCCAGTCACAAGCAGTCTTTGAGATCTGTGGGATACAGTTGAGTTTTTTTTGTTTTTTTTTTAAATTCTTTATTCTTATACAATAATTTCAATGTTACACAAAATTAAATTGTAAAAAACTTAGATAATCAAAGTAAATTATTGACCTGCCTATTTTTAAAACAAAAACATTATTAAATATAGTAACACCTCAGGCATTAAGTAAGATGATAATAAAATTATGAGATTCATTTAAAAAACAAACAAACCAATACAACAATGTCTGTAAAAATGTCTATAAAAATACCCTTATAAGTTTTCTATTTGGAATGATTGTGGTTGTTTAATATTTGAGCAGTGAGAAGAAAAAGACTGTAAAATATTATTTCATTTATCAATTTTTTTCTTAAAGCAGCTAGTAGCATGTTCCTTCTTTATTACAAAATATAAGATGTTACATTAAGAATTCTGATATAAATATACAACCTGCTGGACATAGTGAATCAAAAGATCCTGTAGTTCAGCTTGTTGCTCTTGTAAAGATTCTATCATCTGGTTCAAATGTTTCTGAGATCTAAGGCTGAGCGACATCTAAGTAATTAAAACTTTCATGTTAGTCTAGCCAGAACCATGTTACATTATTTAAATTAGTTTATGTTTAGTATGGATATAGTTTAGTGTTCAGAGGTTTTTAATTAGATTTATAAACTGATAAAAGCGTTGGTTGTTAGACGATAAAAAAGCTGAGGGTTAGGATTATTATTGACATTGATTAGTTTTATCTACCATAACTAACATCTTTGTGTAATATGATGTTGGAAGAGTCCACTGTATAACTAAAGCACTGGAACATACAATTTTTTTTTTAATCTTCTTAATTTTAAGATAGTCTAAACATCATAATGTTTACATGTGCTGTTTTGTGTTTTAAAAAATCGGCTATCACTTAATGCATAGTTAAAGAAATATTACACATTTCAAACGTATTCTATAATAATAATATTATGTGCAGCCTTTTGCATGCTACTATTACTAAAATTTTCTAAATCTACAGGTATTTCGATATAAATTTGAGCTACTGCTAAATTTTTTAACCATATTTCTATTTCAATTTGTGTAACTAGAAATAAATTTTATAAATTATTAGGCCTTAGGCAGATCAGATATAGATCTAGAATCAGTAGTAGTTATTGTCTTATTGGTAAGTAGTTAATTATAGTATAGATATTCTATATAATATATATATTATATCTATATAGTATAGACTATACTATATATTAATATATTTATTATTTATAGGCCTATTACTATAGTTAAGTTAAGTAAGTTAAGTAGTGTCTAGATCTAGATCTAAGTAGTTATAAGTAGTAAGTAGCTAGGCCCTAACTAAGCCTAATATTTTTTAATATTTTATAGTAATAGTATTAATAGTTTAGTTATTAAGTTTTAGACTAGGGCTGACCATTTATTTTCATTTTCTATTTAGATCTAGAGTCTTAGAGTGTTTTATTAAGATTAGCATTTGCCTAGCTTCCATCAAACAAAAATGATAATTACATTGGTTATGGCATAGATAATCTAACAAATTGTTGTTGCTTTAACTTTAATACTATTCTATTTTTCTGTTTTAAATAATAGGCCTACTGAATTGATACGTTTAATTTGCTTTTAAAATTAGGTTCTAAGAAATACGGAGTGAAGAAGGAAAACGGAAAACCCCTTTCACCCAAAATAGACTCGAGTGTAGGCCGCTGATGTAAATCCTAAAAGTATCATTAGATCAGGTAGTAGTAATCTAGATCTCTAGATCTAGCTAGATCCTTATAGAATAAATGAACTGTAAAAATGATTTTAGTTATTAGTATTATTAAGCCTAAAGAAAATAAGCCTAAGCCCTAATCCTAAAAAAATGAAACAGTTAAACAACTTAAAAGTTAAAACGGAAATTCCCTTTAATACAATTTTTACGCCTACAACTTTATCTCTAGATTCTAGATCTAGAATGTTTAGGACTAAATATTCAAATAATAATAAATAAACTTCAGGCTACTATAAAAGTTGCCAACCTGGACTTCTGTAGATCTTTAAAAAGTGAGTTGCATAGTACTAGATCTAGTAGTAGGATATACTTAAGATTATCATAAATATTAATAAGTAAGTTTATTAAGTAGTACTGTAGTAGGCCTAACTAACTTAACAAAGTTAGTAAGTACAAGTAGTAGTACTTACTACTTAATACTGATAGATCTAGACTCTAGTAACCTAGTTGCTGATTTATCAATAATTATTACCTAAGTTAATTAATAATAATTATGCCTACTAATTAGGGCCTAATAAATTAAATAGATTTACTCCTTAGATTCTAGTCTAAAACAAACATATTTTTTTATTTAAAAATAAAATTCAACTTAAAATGAAGCTAAGATAGGCAGACTAATTTAGTATTATTAGTAGCAGTAAAATGCAATGATTTTTGTTATTCTATTCACTTATCTTAAGGTCTAAGTTGAAACAAAAAAGCTACAAAAAGATGTAGGCTATATATATATATATATATATATATATATATATTGCCTATACTATAATACATTGTATGTGGGCGTCTACTAAGCTAAATGTTTTATCAGTCACTGGGAGGCTTGAAACTTTTATGTAGACCTAGAATAGAGCTAGATCTAGATCTATAGGCGTGAGTTCACTTTGGTCATTTTTTTTCTTAAACTATCAATGTGTGTCATTGGATTTGAATTATTTTTTTGCTTTGATTCACAGAAATTTTAGAAACACCATGGCTAAAGCAGGAGAGGAAAAAATTGGCACTAATTCAGGTATGATTAAGTCAGCGTTTAAATAATTTAAATATATAATTATATAAAATTAAATTAGCCTATAGCACTTATAGTTTTAATACTTTGATTACTGTTTAAAATATGTTAATTCAGGTATGATTAAGTCAGCGTTTAAATAATTTAAATATATAATTATATAAAATTAAATTAGCCTATAGCACTTATAGTTTTAAAACTTTGAATACTGTTTAAAATATGTTATCGACAAAAAACGCATGGCAATAACAGTCTTTATAATGTATAACAAAAAAGATGTGTTTGTAATTAATTATTTTTTTTATATAGCACTTTCTAAATTACTAATTTAAAAATTTTAACAAAATAATTCTTTTCTTAGCGGAGAAGATGACTGAGAATGACATTAATACTTTAGTAGTTCAGGCCAATAAAGAGACAGGTAGGTTTAACCTCAAATGTCTTGCAGGTAACAATCATTTCTTTTCTTAGATGAGGTTGGTCACAGGTTACCTAATAAGGTGTTCATTTATTGCAGACATACTTTGAAAGTAGATGTCACAATTCAATTTAGAGTTTATTTAATTTGTTTTATGGTACAAAGATATCTTGAACCAGAAAAGATTATTCTCTTCAACTTTTCCTAACAGCTCTTTTGCATACATGGATTACTTTGTGATTTTAACTTACTTATTACAATTTTCACAGGGGAATTTGAGATTGAGTGTTGCTATGAACACAATGAATACAACTACTTTTGGGAACATTGCACAAAGAATTATGGTCATGCTGATTTTACTCCTGCTGACAATTTTACCATAGATAAACTGCCTGATGGTTACAAGGACATTGACACCTTGCAGCTGATAAAAAGTCTGAGCGAGCTAACTGTCCATATAACAGTAGGCTACGCCAGCCCAGAGAGGCCGTCCAACCTGAATGGCCAGTCCTACCCTTGCTACAGCGACAGTACCAGGGGATTTACACGCTATGGAAGTGGGCGTGTCTGGGATGCTGAGAAAGTAGAGAATGAGCCTTGTCCGTGTACCAAATGTATAGAATCAGGTCAGCATTGTATGCAGTGGGCTAAAATTAGCATCCTGACCGCCATGTATGTAATATTTGATCAAAGCGAGGCTAGAAAATCAAATTTCAAACTTGGATACAACAAAGATGGAGACAACTATGAAACCCTTGAAGGATATAAAGTGTTCAAAACTACCTTGGATGAAGACATGTGTTACCTGTACAGTATATCACATAGCGTTGAGCTAGTTGATGACCTGAAGAAACATCTGGACGAGTTTGAAGAAAAATGCAGAGTTGTAAATGCCAATTACAAGAAAAATAAAAACATCAAGTTGACCGCTATAGTGTCCCACCCTCATGGGTATTTCAAACAAGTGACTATTGGAAACTGGGAAGTCCAGGAACCACAGAAGAACAAAAGCACCAGGTATAAATACACCACAGCTACCTGTAAGGGGAGCAGTGGGGCACCTGTCTTTGTGTTTGGTAAAGAGAAGGGGTGGTGGCTGACCCATCACCACAGTGGATTTGAACCTGACACCAAGTATAACTACAGTGGCATTGTCTGGCTCTAACCCCTACTCTGATGTTACAGCACACTAATCAAACCTCAGGTTTTGGTATTAGCCTTCAGTTTAAATGTTTGGAATTGTTGATTGGTTCATAGCATTCTGATGTGTGCCTTCTCCTTAATATTTCCATTACAATTTTTATTATAATTTAAGAGAAATAGAGACTGATCAAAAATTTTATTTTCAAAGTTTGTGTTAATATTCTAATATACACTATAGTTGAATATGTAATTAATTAAATCCTCAAATAGCAAGTTTTCTCTTTAAAATAATTATTTATTTATTTGATGACCATTACATAGCTTTAATAATTTAGGATGATTTTGTTCCTAAGGTTAAAATTTAAACTTTTTAACCATTTAAATACAAATCAAATAACTAGATCTTTGGAAGCAACAAAATATTTGTATTGGTTACTCGTACAAAAAAAAAAAAAAATTTAAAAAACCTACAGCAATTCAGTAAAACACTGTGTTAGAAAAACATAACTTTATGATAGAAATAGATACAACATTGTGAGGCAAGGATTGCTAACAACTTCCTTTGTGAACCCAAGATATCCTTACACATTAGCAACGAAGATGTGATCCATTAGTTCTGCTGCCGTTGGACGACTTGCTGGATTGATCTGAAACGTCTGCTCCAAGAATTGTTTCATGGCATTTGATGCAGACTCTGGTAGGGTGTACATAGGCTTTGTTTCCTTTGCTAGGGCTACAATGACTTGAGTAGGTTTAAGGTCATTATATGGAGGAACTGTGGTGGCCATCTCAACAACAGTACAGCCCACACTCCTGTAGTAGCAGTGGATTTTATTTTAATGAAATAAACACATGTAGATATAGATAGTTAATATCTAATTTATGATATTGCTTTGTATTACTGTACGCCCCCTTAAAAAATATAAAAAATCTTGGCGCCTTCCCAAACTAGCTGATTGGTTTGTAAAGCATTTTACGGTGTTACAATCACATCATTTTATGTCTTAGGGCTTAAATCATTGCAGGTACCTTGTATTCAATTAGTTAAAACACTCAAAATGTTTTATAGTTACCAGATGTCTGCTCTAACGTCATAGGGATTCTTTTCATCAGCAGAAACTATCTCCGGTGCCATCCAATAGTATGTCCCATGCACTGACCTTGCATTGGTTGCCGAGTGAATGACCTTTGACAAGCCGAAGTCTGTAAGCTTGACACTGGTTTCATCTTTGAGGAGGATGTTGGCACCTGCAAGTGACAAGATATACTTAATTATTGAGTGTTAAATAAAAACAAAAATTAATGATAGTGCCTTAATTACTACGTAGATAAACTATTAATACGTGTGGCATAACCCCCCCCATAGACCCCTCGGTATATATAAAAAGTATGAGGGGGGGGGGGGTGCAAATCGAAAGTTTGAGGGGGGGGGTGCAAATCGAAAGTTTGAGGGGGGGGGGGGGTGCAAATCGAAAGTTTGAGGGGGGGGGGGGTGCAAATCGAAAGTTTGTCCCCGGGTAAAAAATTGGAACCCCCCCCTTGAGACGATCCTGGCTACGCCACTGCCCTCTATACACTATAAATGTTTCTAAATAGATCATTCTATTCTGGACAATAATGCACATTTAAAAGAACTTTTTTAGGTAGCCATTTCTCTTAGCTTGACACAGGCCACCAATCAAAATGTGCAAGCTATCATGTTTTTCAGAAATTTGTAATTAAAAAAAAAACACTATTCCATTGAACAACTTCTTTAAAAACAAAACCATAACCTTTGATGTCCCTATGGATGATGGGTGGACTTCTTCCATGTAGATATTTTAAGCCTTCAAGAATTTGTCTAGTGTATTGTCTGTTTTTTTCTTCCGGAAACGCGCCATTTGCTTTTAAAAATTCGCGGATGGAACCCTAGAATGGAACATAATAATTTAACAAATCAAATAAAAAAAATAACAGAAATTCTGAAAAATCAATCATAACTGAAATGCTGTTTTGTATTTATAAATGCAAAAACTTTTTCACAAATACTTTTTCATATGAGTGAGACAAGATTACAACACTCCATTACTCACCAACATATATCTGGTTAAACGATAACAAAGACTGTCTTTTGATCAGTCATTAGATAGAAGTCAAACACTGAACTATCATCATCACCAGAAAACCTCTTTAAAATCTATTGGCACCATATTTGTTTCAGTGAATTATTTTGATTTAAAATTTTTTGAACTGAAATGTTACTGGCTTTTTGTAAAATCAACAAATTGTAAACTGCAAAAACTGGGACCTGAACCCTACTCAACTTCAAAAACTAAACAGTATTTAAACAGTAAGTAAGATGAATGTCTTTAGACTTATGTTATTTACATAAAAGTATAGTTCTTCCCAATAAAATAAACCTTTCTTGATTATTAAGATTCAGTTAACAAATTTTGAAAACACATCTTTGATTCAGAGCCGGTATAAATCTTCTATCCATTTTAGAAAAGGCATAAGAAATTATTTTAAACCAAGAAGAAAGAATAATATTTTACAATGATTAAATTTAAATGTGTTTAAATGGTAAAATCTGTAAAATTCATAAGAAAATCTTACCATGCTCATGTTCTCTAAGAAGATGATCACATTGAATTGACTTTGCTCGTATCCGTAGAAAGAAACTATCTTGGGATGTTTGATTTTCATCAAGACGTCCAGCTCTACTATATTCTGTGGAGTCACCATGTGTTTGTTATCAGATACATTTTTATTACAAATTTCAAGCCCATGCCAACATTTGATCTACTTGTGTAACAAACAACATTGTCCAATTGAGAAAATGTTGCAATAATTTATACTATGTCTTATTTTGTGTTGTATGTTGGCTGTGCTTATTGCAAACTTTAAGTTGTATCAATATATAATGATAGCTGTAGGCCCTATTTGTTATTTTTCATAAGAAATCTACCTCTGTAACAACAATAGGCAGTGAGGGTGTTGGTGTAGCAATCAGCTACAATACATTAGATACGGACAAGCACAAAAAAAAAACCAATTGTTTTTACCTCAGCACGATCTTTCTTAGCATTGGAAATTCTAATTTCTTTCCCCACATATTTTTCTTCATCTGCTCCTTTCTCTTTGACAATGAAAACTTGGCCAAAGGTCCCATTGCCTACAATACGCCCTCTCTCCCAAAGTGTTGGGAATTCTGGAGCTAGGGATGTTACGACTGTTGAATAAAAAAATGATTAGTATTTTACCTTTAAAGTTGTGTTGATTTTTATTCGACCAAAGCTGGACCATAGTTATTAGTATTTGTTTTGTTCTCTCTTGTGTGGGGGTTGTTGCTTAGCAGTTACGAAACCTAAATCTAATAAGTTGTGGGAAGTGAAATGTTCTATGAATGGTCTGTGACATTGTTGCTGGGTTTGAAACAAAACAGAAGAGAAATACTTTAGGATACAATGGAAGGCTAAAATTATGTAAAGAAGAATGGGAAAACATTTGACAATAACAATTAACATAAACTTTATTAAACTTACTATCATTTTCGTTGTCAGACATTGTTGTAGAATCAAATTTAGTGTACCTTCAATGAGAAAACAAAAGCTCTAAACATGAGATACATCTAGTAGTAGTAAGCTACACTACACACATAACATGTAGGTAACACATATTGGGGGTGACAGGCAAATGATCCCAGAACGAATAGAATCAAACAAATGATCACAGACAAAATATTTATCTTTGACAGAAGCTGAACTCAAGCTAATATAAAACAAGGTAATTAAAAAGTCTAGTGACAATTTTAGCGCAATTTCCTTATGTTATCTAAAATAGCTGTCGTAGTGTAAATCAAGAGCAGGGTTAGTAAAACCATTGGTTAGTTATTAAAACGTTTTTTATTAATTTTTTTCAGTATTTTACATGTTTTATTTACAATAGAGTTACATGACTAAAAACCATTGCGCGCCAACTGAACGTGATGGCGCAGCCATGGAACGCGATGGCGCAGCCATGGAACGCGATGGCGCAGCTATTGAACGTGATGACGCGTGTGGTGTGGTTGGAAAAAATGCCTACTAATTCGGTCCAAATTTTTATTAATTCAAAAATTGTTTTGTGACCAAACGAAAGGATTTTTTGAAAACTTTCTTCGGCAATATTGTTCTAAATTATGGCAGAAATCGATTGGTACATGTTTCAAGTCGCTTATTGGTCTGGTTGCCGAGATATGGGCCAAAAACTGCTTTTTTTCGAGTTTTTTTGGCTTTTCCGGGAAATCCATGAAAGAAACCCGTAATTTTTATGGCCTATGTTCATCCTCGTAACTTGCTTAACATAATTGCTTTTGGAACTAGTCATCGATATTGCTTCGTTGAGGAGGAGATACGACTTAAAGCTGCGGACACACATCCATCCATCCATCCATACATCCAGAAATGACGGGTTAATAAACGCAATTCTCCAGAATGGAAATTGCGCTAAATAAAAAAAAATTTATTACTTCACAATAACTACACAAATATAGATCTATATAATAGAAATTATAGAATTTACTGTGGTTATTTTCAAATATTTTGGTTAGCGGCCAGTTAGCCTGTTCTCGGCCAGTTACTGTTAATCAATACTGTGTTAAGTGCTAAGTTAGGCCTAATACAAGTATAGTTAAGTCAGTTAAGTTTAGTATCTAGATTCTAGATCTAGATCTATAGAGATTCATTAGAGATAGATAGATCTAGATCGTTTAGTATATAGATCTAGATTCTAGTATATAATTTAGCTAGTAAGCTAGCTTTGCACATTTTGCCATACCTCCAACATTCACATTGAACATTGACTACTAGATCTAGATCTAGATCTAGATCTAGAGTCTAGATCTAGTTTCAACAAACCTGTTGCCATGAAATTTGCGTTTCTTAGCACGTCTACAATACTTCCTATCACTTTGCATCCTTTTTTCTAATCCAAAATGAATTTAAAAAAATAAAAAACTTTTATTAGATCTAGATATTAGGATCTAAATCTAGATAGTTTGAAGCGCGGAAGCCGCCTTATCTTATACAATAATACTAATAGAGTTAGGGATCCATCATTAAAATTACAAATTAGGGAGGTGTTTATTGTTTTTTTTAATTGTTGTATAGCTTGTATTCAGAGTTTCTTCCAGGCATCTCTTTGGGGGGGGGGGGGGGGGGGGGGGGGGAATCCCCGACGAAGAAAGAAAGTCTACCGCCTTCTCCCCCCCCCCCCCGAACGTGATGAATTTGATATAGTAAACATACACTTTTACTAGTGTCCGAGAAAAAAGTCTGGAAGAAACACTGTTTGTATTGTGTACTGTTTGTTGTGTTTTTGTTTGTCACTGATGTGATATGTTGCGTATTTTTTTCCTACGTGAGCCTTTGGGTTTTAGGCCCCGTTTTTAAAGTCTACGGGCTTATGGGCGTTGCGATGGGTCGGGATGGTGCGGAATGACACCATGGCGTAAACCTGCTAATAATAGACAAAACATGCTATTTATTACCGACAATAGATAAAAAAAATCGTTGGTATGATCTGAGCACAGTTTAAAGCAATCACCATGGGACGGGAGTGGTGGGAGGGGGGGGGGGGTGGAGTGAAGTTACATCAACTAAACGTTGCAAAATGCGCCTGAAGAAAACGGTTTGGACGATAATCGTAATAACATATGTTTTAATCCATGTATAGAATGGGGGATGGCTGATTGGGGGGGGGGGGGGCGGTAAAAAAACTAAAATAGTAAGAAAAAAAGAATATATTTGAATACGTATACACATGTATATACACATACCTACAAGTATATATGTTATCATCAGGTGCCGCACCGAATGACACCCGACCTCGCTGCGCCACACTTCAGGTTGATCTGTTATGTCACCGAACGTAAATCGGCCAACTAGATCTAGATCTAACAACTACTAACTAACAAGACAAGGGTTTGCCTTGTATTTTTAGCAGTAAACTGATATTTTTATGCAACTATTGCTAATGTTTGTTAAAAATCATAGTTTAATGCAGGAGTTAAGGTAGCTTTATTTAGATATTATTCATCCGGTTTCTCTCAACAAAGAAATTTTGAATTAGCATAATTCTGAAAAATGATTAATTTTATAGAAACGCAGTTTACATCCTGCTTGAATTAGAAACCCGTAGTTCGTAGAATCCATCTCAGGTGTGTGGAATAATCTGCTGACTGCACTGACTGCACTAGAGCCATTCTTGACAGAGGCGAGTTGTGTTAACGCAAGCTACTTTCAAAGAAATAACCCCGCATAGTAACAACTAGATCTACAACATACCACAGTGGACCAAGCTATAGGTACGTATTATGACGTATAACTACATGAATCAAAATCTTCCTCAGAAGATATCCTATAATTGCCAGTTTTTTTATTTTTATAAATAATAATAAACATAATTTTTCATACATAAAATATTCGAGTAAAAGTATGCACACTTAATATCGTTTTTCAAATAACCCAGAAGAAAATTTCATTTTTTTAATAGAATTATTTGATTTGTTTTTAAAATAATATATTATTTTAAAAAAATGAACAACATCTAATTTCAATTTGGCAACAGATATTTATAAATACTAAGCCTATGTTACATCGGAAAATCCCATTTAACTTTCAAATTCTATCAACCTTACTTTTAAAAGCACTTATCTATAAAATAAATATAGTGGTACTTTGAGATGAGAGTTAAATTAGTTTCGTTACATTGCTCGCATGTCAAATTTCTCGTATCTCAAACTCAAAGCAATTTTCTCAAGTGAAGGTAATTGAAATCCTATAAAGCCATTCCCCAAAATGCCAACGCCATTGTTTTTAGACGTGTTTTTTACTTTCTCGTATATACGAAGTAGTATAGAGAAAGTATTGTAATCGTGCACAAAAATAACATGAAATTTTGACAGTTTTCACCGTTTTACTCCTCAGTCGTTCATCACATCCGGAGTATAGAGGACTTATTTTAATCAGGCAAAAATTATAAATACATATATATTAACAATTTGGCGTTTTATGCGTTATCGAGTAGTAAAAACTGGACTTTGCAATTCTGTCCGTATGTCTGTGTGTCTGTCTGTGTGTAAACACGATAACTTGAGTACCGTTACAGCTAGGTTGATGAAATTTCATATATAAGTATTTTATCAAAATCGTAGATCCTGATTAACTTTTGAGCGATTTCCAATAACCGGAAGTGGTACTTTTTCTACTTTGAATTTTTCAATAACTATAACTTGAGTACTATTTCAGATAGATAAATGAAATGTCACATGTAAGTAAAAGATCTAATTCTCTACATTCTGTCAAATTTTGAGTAATTTCAGTTGATTGAAAGTACTAATGTACGATATTTCCGATTTCTCAAAAAAACTAATGTAAATTTATAAAGTTCTAATAATATTCCGCACTATTAAGCACGTTTTATTTGGCGTTCACATGTGTGCAATTCTTTTTTACTACGGATTTTAAAAAGTTTAAGTATTTAAAATGGATTAAAATTCTTGTTCATATCCCGAGTTCCCATCCCCTGTATTTTTTTTTATAAAAGAATATTCGAGAAAGTTTAGGGGAGATCGCTCCCGGTTTATTTAAAATAGAAAAAGTGTTTTTATACATGAAAATTAAGTAAAGTTCCCCTTCCAAACCTGAACTATGGGGCAAGTGAAGTAGAGTTCTCATGTTTCTGTAACCTCGGCATATAATGGGATAGTGTGGTCAGCACTATGCCAATCCACCTTTACTTTCCCTAACATGAGCTAGATACCCATCAGAACTGGTTGAACTCAGAGACGGTCTACTGATTTGAACCCGGAATCGAACTCGAGACTTACTTTATATGATTACATACACTTTTTCAAGACTATTGAGTATAACCTCAACATATTATTTTATTTTTAAAATCAAAAGGTTTTAGGTATAGTCTTATTTGTTTTGATTGTGTTACTTTAAGTGATATTCAGAAGTAGCAACATTTATGTACTAAATATAAACTAGTTCTTAAATATTAAATTATTAATTAATTATTCCTTTTATTTTAATATTACTTTTTAACAAAAAATAAATTCTAACGAATTATTACGGGAATACCCGCTATTATTAACACGTTGGAATTTACGAATTTAGTTTAGGTTGGGCCTCATTTTATTCTTATAGTTTGAAACTAAACTTAAAAGTTCCGTAATAAGAAGCTGGTTTGTGTTGTGACAATGTTGTCCCTTTAAATACTTTGTAATGTTTCTTTATAAGGCCCAAATAAATCTGAATTGCACTAATTCGAAGGAATTAGATCTAGTTTTAATCCCTTTACTAAGGTCAAGTATAGTAAGTGAAGTAACCTTTCAAACATGGCGCCATGTGGCAGTTGAAGCATATTTAACCTGTTTCAGTGACCTCGGCATTTGAAGGGATTGAGTAGTCAGCACTATGGCATCTTTCCCAAACGTGAGTCAGGTACCCATCAGAACTGATTCGACTCAGTGACGTTCTTTAGCCATGAAAACAGGATTCAAACTGTCGTGTTGGCAGTCGCAAGCGCTGCCCTCCGACAAGGCCGTGTCCTTAACCCTTTGGTAGTGGTGTCTATAATCTCATGTTGGGATATGGGGGAGGGTGTTAAAAATCTCGCTGTTATCGCCCCGCCCCCTAGAAAAAAATCTACCCCCCCCCCCAAACGAAATGAAATTTATATAATTTATATAGAAAATATATACTTTTAACAGTGTCCGCCTCCCCCCCCCCCCGAAGAAAGTCTACCGCCCCCCCCCCCCCCCCGAAAATTTCAAGTGCCCCCCGGAGAAAAAAGTCTGGAAGAAACACTGGTTATCAAATTAAATGTTTTGCCTAGCGTAACAGCTGATATAGAGCTTATTCTTTCGCAAAATGTAAATGCTAACGTATAACATTTTGTGTGTATTTTTGCTTTAATAGCAGAAAAATTTGGAAATCAAATCATGGCTGAAGAAGCAGTAGAAAGTGCTGACTTTTGTGCAGGTAAAATAGAATACACATTTACACGAATTAGTCGGAATGTTGGATTTTTTACTGTTTAACATGATTGTTATCACGAAGTTATCAGTTGTTGTTTTTTTGGAATAAAATGTCATGGCCATGAGAAATATTTTTTAATGTACACATATGAATTTCTATAAAGGCCAGACGATTAACATTTCTAGATCTAAATAAAAAGTTCCTATGTTCACTACTTCAAAAATTACTTTTAAGGAAACATCTCATTATATATATTGTTATAAACAACTGGATCACTTGTGCCTTTATGTTCAAGTAAAATGTTTTCAGTGTGTGTCTTGTTCTAATTAGACGATAATTTTCTCATCAGAAAATATAACAGAGGAGGATATTGTCAGTCAGGCCGATAAGGAGACAGGTAGGTTTTATGTTTGTGTGTAGAGTTATGTATAAGGGGTCATCCTTGAATAACGCCTTTTAACGCTTTTTACCTCCCCCCTCCCCTCCGTACCACCCCCACACACAAAGCGGTCTTTCATTAATGACTTAACACTCGTAGGGGGGAGGGGGTCCGTACATTTGTGACGGTGTGTGATGAGTGGAGGGGGGGGGGGGGGGTTCAGATGGTGCGACTTCACATATTTGCATTATAAAATAGCAAAGTTAGAAAACGAATTATAGACGTTATTTCGCGTTTTAGAAAACGGTTTTAATAAATTGTAATAGGAATTGATTTTTTACTGAGCGGAATAACGGCTAAAATTCGTTTTCTAACATAACTTACTTTTATGCAAAAGTATGACGTCACATTATCTGAACCCCCCCCCCCTCCCCCCCCCCCCCAATTTTTCATTGTGTTTCTTGTTTTAACTAGACGATAATTTTCTCATTAGAAAATATAACAGAGGAGGATATAGTCAGTCTAGCCAACAAGGAGACAGGTAGGTTTTATTTCTGAGTGTAGCATTAATGTACAGTTGTAGACTGTTAGTGTAGCTTTAGTGTAGAATTTTGTGTAGTTGGAGAAAGGTAGATTTTATATCTGAGTGTTCAATTTTGCATAGTTGGAAGCAGGGTTCGCGTTTAAGTGTTGCATTATGTATAGCTCGAGACAGTTCTCATGTCTGAGTTTAATATTATGTATAATGGGTCACATCGAACTTATATGGGAGTGGATAAACTATCATATTGTTTATTCGTTGTTATAAATAATTTGAATAAGTAAAAATGCATTTACGTTATTTTCTGTTCATTAAACTATAGGGATCTGTTAATATCCCGCTGAATTTAAATGTTAAAACAATGTATTGAGTAATATAAATAGAGCTTAAACATTGGTATTACATTATATTTATTTAAAAAAAACAATCGAAAATGCTTCGTGAAATTAAGGGTTATGTGGAAGATTACGTATGATATATATTTCTGGTGTCTTGGTGTAATGATGTAGGCAATAGTTGACCAGTGACCAACCTCATTTAAATTAGGCTTAGGTCCAAGGACAAAAATTCATAAGTGTGAATAAGGGTTTGTAGATTTTAGTCAATATTGGTAGAGATACATAATGCTGTCAACACAAATGTTATTATTAATGTTTGACTTAGCATGTTAAGTTTTACTATGTGTAATATTGACAGGTGAATTTGAGATTGACTTCTGCTTTGAAGGTGGTTTGCACAATACGAATTGGGAGACATGTACAAAGAACTCTGGTCACACGGATTTCTTCCCTATTGACGAGTTCACCATTGATAAACTGCCTGACAATGTCAGGGATAAGGACACATATGGGCTGATCAAAGCTCTAAGTGAACTAACTGTTCACATAACTGTAGGTTATGCTAGCCCTGACAGGCCATCTAAAGTTAATGATAAGGATTACCCATGTTTTAGTGCAAAGAATAGGTGGACCCCACGATATGGAAGTGGGCGTGTTTGGGGGGCTGAGAAAGTAGAAAATGAACCTTGTCAATGTAGTGATTGTAAAACATCAGATAACCCAATTAAGCAGTGGGCTAAAATTAGCATCTTGACTGCAATGCATGTAATATTTGATCAAAGCGAGGCTGAAAAGTCAAAATTTAAACTTGGATTCAACAAAGATGGAGACAACTATAAAACACTTGAAGGATATAAGGCGTTCAAATGTGATTTGAAGGAAGACATGTGTTATTTATATAGTGCTTCACATCGCGTTGATCTGGTTGATGAGTTAAAGAAACATCTAGAAGAGTTTGAAGAAAAATGCAGAGTTGTAAATGCCAAGTACAAGAAAACTGACAACGTCAAGCTGACCGCGATTGTCTCCCACCCTCATGGCTACTTCAAGCGAGTGACAGTTGGAAACTGGGAGGTCCAAGAACCACAGAAAAACAAAAGCACCAGGTATGAATACACCACAGCTACCTGTAAGGGGAGCAGTGGCGCACCTGTCTTTGTGTTTGGTAAAGAGAAGGGATGGTGGCTGACCCATCACCACAGTGGATGTGATAAAAACACCAAATTTAACTACAGTGGTATAATCTGGCTCTAACCCTTACTCAGATGTTAGGGACACTAATGAAATCTCAGGCTTTAGAATTAGCCTTCAAGGTCAGTTTATTGTCATTAGATAATTAATTGGCTTAATATGTAACTTAGTATAGCATTTTGCTGTGTGCTCTAAATACTTTTTTACATTGAGATTATTATAGTTAAAAACAAATATAATGTGTACAAAAATGTGTGTGGTTTTAGAATATTGTAATGTTAACTATTTTAGAGGTAGCTGTATTAATCCATTTCATAAATTAACTATTTTCTATTTAAAATAATTTTTTGTGTAGTTTGAAAACTCTATTTAACTTGAAATATATTATACAAAACATTTAGTAAAGAAACTGTTCAATTACATTTGCTTCCCTTTGCTTCCATTTTTCACTTAATAAACATTTTAACCTTGACGCCTTGTACTATGGCATGGTGAATATTTTATTTACATTTATAACGCACAAATAAAAATCTATATAAATCAAATGACTGTGTGTTTTGTTGTAATAAAATATTTTGTGTGCTTTACGTTAGATCACTTACAGCAGTGGTTCCCAACCTTTTTCGAGTGGCGACCCCCTTTTATAAAAAGTAAGTGACCCGCGACCCCCATAGAAATAAATAGCCGAAATTAGTATGGAAAGTAATAAGCACTAAAATAAGATTTTCTAGTAGACTTTCAATATGAACTATTCTTGATAACTGTTTTGATAGCATGAGTAAAATTGCATACTATTCACTAAACCTTCGTGGTTAAGTTTTTAATTTAAAACAAATTTTGTTAACGCAAACCTATGTCATTATAATTATCTTAATTTTGTTTTTAATCGAAGAGTTGTGTTGAAAATATATTCTCGAAAAGTCAATCAATTTTACGTTTGGGTATGAATGGTGAATACTACACCAAAATTGTGTCTGCGGTCTTCATCTTACTCGGAATCATTCTGCAAATCAAAGAATTCATCTTGTAATTCATCGGGAATGCTGGCAACATCAAGAGAAGAAGAGAATGGGGTAATGCGTAAATGCAGATTCTTCATTTTTCAGCTCAGAGAAATAGCGATGCAGTTCGTTGTCAAGAGATTCAAGATGCACAGAAATCGCTTCTTTCAAAATTTTAATTATCTCACAATCAGATTCATCTACCACACCGCAGAGTTTCTCAAATTTACAAAATTTCCTAGATTTATTATCTTTACCGATTCTGCAGCTTTGATAAAAAATGCCCCAAGATTATCATGGAAAGTTATCTTCTTCTTCTTCTTCGTTCTTAATTATTAGTGTTGGGAGGGATCGAGCCTTATCTGCCAGAGGATTTGAACTCGAGACTTTTTTCGAATTTATCAACCAAGCTTTGCCGACTCGAACATGCTTCCATCACAATTAAGGATTACGTGGCAACTGGTTATGCCCCATAGAGGCCATTGACTCCGATTTCAGCCTGCTTTTCTTTATGGATTTGCTTCCATAGCCTTTGTCCAACTACTAGGCAGCAGTTGTTAGAAGAGTGGCTGTCCCCAGCTAACGAGCCTTATCTGCCCGAGGGTTCGAACTCGAGACTTCGGTTTAACAGCCATGAGCTTAACCGACTCGACCACGCCGACCCTATGGAAAGTTATAATATTCGTTAATTTTCCTTGAATCTTCATGTTAAGCTTATCTTGATGTTCGAACACATCTGCTAGGTATGATACTCTCTCCAACCGCTCTATGTCGTTTTAAGTATACCAAAAAGTCTTGTTTCCTTTGCACTTCCAAGAACAATTTGATTTCAGATTTCAATTCAAAAACACAATATACAACATTTCGTTTGACAGCCAGCGTATTGTAGTGTAGAATAGCAGAACCTCGTGATCTATATTAAGGTTTTTGCTCAGTTCTTTGAAGGCTCCAGATTTTATATAATTTACGACTTATACTAGCAATGGACTCTTGATGTCGATTGGTTAGGGCAGTGGTTAGGGAGCTAAATCTTTTCTGTTTTCTGAAAGCCCGATTTTGAGCTAAACATAGATGGCGCACCATCCGTACAAACCCCCACAGCCGTTCTAACCTATTTTAATCATCCCGTTTAAAAAAAAAAACTAATTATTTTTTCCAGGCTATCTTCACAAAAGAGCAACTCTTCTTTGCTATCATGCACATGAATATAGACACAGACCAGCAACTGTCAACACGAACTCACGTCTGTTGATTTATCATCTTGAAAAGCAAACAATGGTGAAAGTTAATTTCAATAAAAATGTGTTATTTAACATGAGATTTTCTCCTATTGTTTTTTTTGTTTTTTGTTTTTTTTTTGCTTGGCATTTTCTATCGCGACTTCATTTGATGCTTACACTAATGCTGGTGAAAACTTCCTGTTCGATCAAGTCTCTGGCGTTTGCAACTAGCTTCTTACCGACGAAAGAACTTCATATATTTTTTGGTGTGTTCTGAATGACTCGTCTCAAATGACGTTTTAGTTTTGAAGATTTTATAGATTCGTGACTGAGAACAACTTTGTACAGTGCGCTTTGTTTCTTCTCTATTACATTTCCAGTGATGTTAAGAAGCCGAATTTCAAAAATTCTTCAAAATATTTATGTATTGTTTCAAATTACTAAGGTTTAGTATACCAGTTGGCGACCCCCCAGAAAGACCTTCGCGACCCCCAGGGGGGGTCGCGACCCCCAGGTTGGGAACCCGTGACTTACAGCGTTGCTAACATTCATAGACTCAAACAAAAATTTAAAATATTAAAAAAAAAAACTAGAGACATTAATATTTGTAAAATATAACGTTTATTAAATAGTAAAAGGTTCTACAACACAAAAGGGTGAAAGTTTAATAAAAAAAATTAAGCCGCATGCTAGAACTCATGTTGCTGCCTGTATCAAATCGAAGTATGAGTTGATTCACACACTAGCAACGAAACTGTGACCCAGCAGTTCTGCTGCTTTAGGACGACTTGCTGGATTGATCTGGAATGTCTGCTCCAAGAATTGTTTCATGGCATTTGATGCAGACGCCGGTAGGGTGTAAATGGGATTTATTTTACTGGAGAGAGCCATAATGACTTGTACAGCAGAAAGGTCTTTAAATGGTGGATCTGTGGTGGCCATCTCAACAACAGTACAGCCCACACTCCTGTAGTAGCAGTGGATTTTATATAAATACATAAATAAATAAATAAATAAATAAATAAATAAATAAATAAATAAATATATATATATATATATATATATATATATATATATATATATATGTATATATATATATATGTATATATATATATATATATATATATATATATATATATATATATATATATATATATATATATATATATATATATATATATATATATATATATATATATATATATGTATATTCATTGATAAATTCCTGGCATGTATCTTACGAAACATTCATTTCAAATACGAAGGTTTTATAATTACCATATATCTGCTTTAACGTCATACGGATTCTCTTCATTTGCTGTAACCACTTCCGGTGCCATCCAATGGAATGTCCCGTTCACTGACCTGGCGTTGGTTGCCGAGTGAATGACCTTTGACAGACCAAAGTCTGTGAGTTTAACGTTGCTCTCATCTTTGAGTAGGACGTTGTCACCTACACGATACACAAGACATACATTAACATCGAATGTGAAATAAAGGGATATTTATTGTAGTGTGTCAACATTAATTAAGAGTCGTTCATAAATGAAGTCACACTCGTAAGTGGGGGAAGGGTCGTAATTTTGTGACGGTGTGTGATGAGGGTGAGGGGAGGGGGGGAGTTCAGATGGTGTGAAAACCAGTTATAGTTGTTATTTTGCGTTTTAGAAAACTGTTTTAATCAAATGTAATAGGAATTGATTACAATAATCTATGTTAACAAAGCTCAGACAAGATTTTGGAAAAATATCAATGTTTTAAGAAAAATTCAACTGCAATTTTTTAGGGGGGGGGGCGGTTTTAGGCTGAGGTTTGACGTCATTTTGGGGGGGGGGGGGTGTCTGGCGTTTTTGTGAAATGTGTGACGGAGGAGAGGGGGCGAACAAAACAAATCGTCCAAAAAGTGTTACGTCATTTATGGATCAATAAATTACTACATAAATGTCAAGTGTTAAATAAGGGAAATTTAGACATAATATGGTGGCAAAGTTAATTAATGGATTATTTTGTAATGTCTGACTACAAAGAATCCACCTTTTAAGCCCGATAAAAGCTCAAAAACATATTCCATACCAAATAAGGTCAAGACTAAAAAAAATATTTTCGTTGGTGGTAATTTTTATTTTGACAATGGCTAAAAATCTTGAATGGTTTTTTTGTTCAGTAAATTGAAGTATTTAAAAAAAAGGAAACAATTTTATTAAGACAAGACACATAACCATTTCTTTAATAGAACTTGCCTTTGACATCCCTATGGATGATGGGTGGCTTTCTTTCATGCAGATATTGGAGGCCTTCCAGAATTTGTTTAGTGTACAGTCTGTTTCTCTCTTCTGGCAATGCCCCGTGATCTTTTATAAATCCTCTGATCGAACCCTTGAACGAAGCAGACATTTACAAAGCCGGTTTGTAAAAAAAATATATCATTTTAACATTTCAAAAAAAATATCTGGAAACTTTTGTTTTGTTAAACCAAATATTTTTTATAAGGAAATAAAATTTGACAATTTATAACCCACCTCTCACACTCATAGCATTATAAAACAATAATTGTTAAAACGATGCTAATATATGGACAATTTAGTCAACATAGTGTGGGTAACGGTGGTAATGTGTATATATGGGTGTATGCGTGTGATAGGGAGAGAATGGGGGGGGGGGGGAGTCAATAAATTAACATTAGTAAATCTAGCATAACACAACCGAGTAAGTATTTTATAAACAAAATGTCAGCCATTGAGGAATAATTTTCCAAAACACGAAATTTTCCTATTCTACTTTTTAAACGTATGCATTACAGTCATAGAATAGCCAAGTAAATCAAGAGCAAAAAAATGCACAGATGTCATACCAAGTTTTAAAAATATTCTACAACAGTAACATGTGTAAAATTCTTTTAAGAAACTGTACTCTATCTTACCATGCTCATGTTCTCAAAGAAGAGGATTATGTTGAATCTCTTTTGCTCATATCCGTAGAAAGAAACTATCTTGGGATGTTTGATTTTCATCAAGACGTCCAGCTCCACTATATTCTGTGGAGTAACCATAGATTTGTGATTAGATACATTTTAATTTTCAACCAGATCAATAGCTAATGTAGTCGTGTGATTCTATCGTTTAATATTTACAAGTCTTCCAAGACGTAGAACAATGGAAAAAGTTCTACATATTTTTAGTGTTTTCTTTTTTTTAAGTTTTAAAATGAAATGGAAAAATATTATTTACTTTGATCTATCAAACAATGGATATAAAGACTTAAGACATTAGTATTTTTGTACTATACTGAGGGCAAAATTTAGGAAGATGAATTGGTTTTGGACATCAATTTTTTTCGGCAGAGAATCAGATACTTTGGGACTAAGTATGGTGATGTGCGATTTGGGCTGTTGATACCTGGGATACAACAATATAGTTTTGGACCAACCGAAAAAAAAACGGGCTATAAAATGTGAGTTATGAACCAGCCATAACAACAAGGGGAAAAAGAGCCCTAAAGATCTCTATAGACAAGAAAAAATCACTAAGGAAAAGTAAAGACCCCTAAAGACCCATATAGTCCAGTAAAGACCTCTAAAGACCCCTACAGATCAGTAAAGACCCCTATAGACCAGTAAAGACCCTAAAGACCCCTATGGAACAGTACAGACACCTAAAGACCCATATAGACCAGTAAAGACCCCATGAAGACCCATATAGAGCAGTAAAGATCCATAAAGACCCCTAAAGACCAATAATATTTTACCATTTCACGATCTCTCTTGGCACTGGAGACGAGGATTTCCTTCCCCACATATTTTTCTTCATCAGCTTCTTGCTCTTTGACAATAAAAACCTGTCCAAAGGTCCCCTTGCCTACAACACGCCCTCTCTCCCAAAGTGATGGGAATTCTGGAGCCAGGGATGTTACGTCTGCTAAATTTAAAATACGACTTTAGGAAACACTTCGTTGAAAATACAAGTTTACCAAACACTTAATTAAAAATAAGATTTTAAGAAACACTTCGTTCGAAATACGAGTTTAACAAATACTTAATTTTTCTATATCAGATGTTATCTTTTACTACACCGACAGATGTTATGTTTTTAACTACAACTTGATGTTATTTTTGTCTTGTAATTGGGGGACTAAAATCTATTGATACCTGTTCATCTTCGTGTTTGCGTTTAATAATACACCTGTGAGTATAAAAGAGTGAGTCTTTAAAGTCTCGTGAATATCTAGCATGTTGCTAAAAAATTGTTCATGTTCTAGTTTAACAAACAATTTCTTATAGTACATTTATTAAGTCCAGTTTAACAAATGTCTATCATGAAAAACTCCTAACAGTTCTAGCAGTAGAACCATTTTAACATGAACAATTTCTGACAATTATAGAGCCGGGTTAACATGAACATGTTTCCTGACAAGTTCGTGACATAAAAAAGTGGGGTGGGGGGGGGGGGGTGGGGGGTGGGTGGGGGTAATATAGGAGTGGCTGTGAATTCAAGGATACGTTGAATAACGTTGAATGGAACATCTGCCACGAAAACTGGAATATCCGGACTGATTCAGTAGAGTTGGCTTTCAAGGGAAAGTTGTTCCTTTTTAAGTGTGTTGAATAGCGAAAGTTAAAAGAGAAATTATAACAACACATTTTGGCGTGGGGTAAAGACACGATTGTCACTTATGCAACCAAGCACCACAAAACATATTCTAAAACAGTCTAATATTCAAGAGTTAGAACACACACACACACACACACACACATATATATATATATATATAATTCATCTGATTTTGTTATTATTGCAGATCTAACATAATCATTGCACAATGGTATGCTTATTCACACCTGACATGATTATTGCAAACTTTACATGATTATTGGGCACCTGATATAATTATTGCACATCTCACTTCATTACTCAACTCCCGACATGATTATAGCCCACCTAACATGAATATTGCACATCCGCCATGATTAATGCACACCTAAGATGATTATTGCACACCTAACATTATTTTTGCACAATTAACATGATTATCGGGCACCTGACATGATTATAGCACACCTAACATTAGTATTGCATACCTAATATGATTATAGCACAACTGAAATGATTATAGCACCCATAACATGATTATCGCACACCTAAAATGATTAATGCACACTTGAATTGTACCCTTTTGTCACTAAATTCAAATCTGCTGTCAATCACTAGAAATTAGGGCGTGTACAATCGACGAGGTGTGACAACAGGTTGAACCACGCCCCGCCTCTGTGGCTATATAAAGACTGACGCGTCAAACTTCACCACACGGATGTGCTATTCTTGGTGATATTTTTTTTTAATTTTGTTGATTTTTTTAGCAACTACTTCAAGGTACAGTTTGTAAAAATATTACATCTCACTTTCTTGTTGATAAAATATTTAATGAATAATTTTGATTGTGAATCTTTTATATTAATTTTATACGATAAATAACCAGATTGCTGTTTAATTACGAAATGGGTATTATATTTTTAAATTATTCTTACTTGCATAGTTTTTTCTAGTCAAATATCTCAATGTATCTTACCAATTTGTTCTAGTTAGATATCTCAATGTATCTCACCAATTTGCTCTAGTTAGATATGTCTCATTATTTAGTTCTAATCAGATGATACAGCGTATCTCATCTATTGTTCCAGCACCTGTAGCTACAGGTAAAAATGTTTGCCCTTGTCTGTGTGGCTGTTCTCACCTGGATGGCCCAGATTGATGCTGCTACCAACTCGACCATCTCGTGCACAAGGGGAACTGAACTGACGCCACTAAACCTGGAATGTAACTCGACCAGTCAATATCTCGTGATCAACCGTGTCTTCTATGGGGCCAAGTTAAAAACCAGGTGAGAGTCAAGGTGATCTGCACATAAACACTGGGGTGAAAACCTTCCATCCACCCATGTCTAAATACGGAGAAACCACTACCCCCCTACCCCCCAACCCCGAATTTTCTTCCTGTCTTCTCAACACGGACAGCCTATCTTGTACATTTATACGATTTTTAGAGCAGCTAAGACTGACCAGGTTTCTCTAAATGTATTGCCATAAAAAGCAAACTAGAATCTAAATTAAAAAATTGTGTCCATCCAACTTGTAGTATTTTACCAAGTATAATTATATGAATTTAACAGAGATGTGCATGCACTAGTACAGAGCACTAGCAAAATACACATTCGCACACACACATACAAACACACACACACATATACATACATATATATTTTTTTGTTTCATATATATATATTAATATATATATATATATATATATATATATATATATATATATATATATATATATATATATATATATATATATATATATATATATACAGGCAAAATAAAATATGCATATATATGTTCATATTTCATATACATGTATGGGCCAAAATTATATTTTATTACTTCAAAGATATTGCACATTGAATACTATCTTTCTAACCCATTTTGTGAATCAAGGGTGGAGATTAATACAAACCCGCGCGAGGCCATTAGAAAAACGTTAAAAATTATCTGGTGCTAAGTTACTTCTTTAGAAAACATGACACGGTCCTAAGGACTGCGCACCTAGGTGGACAAGTTGTATTGAAACTAGCACGCAGTCTTGCTTGAATAGCCGAAACCATTGCCATTTATGTGTTGCAGTCACGCTAGTTCAACCAAGTCGAACGTCTTGAAGTCTCAATAGAAGAAAAAAAAATGACGAGTCATAAAACTTGGGTGCGGCTGCTCTTAAGTAATGCTGTCAAAAGAACATTACCGAATAAAAGAGGTAGAATTCTAGAAGGTACTGTCTTGTGTTCAGAAATAAAAAAAACCAGTTAGAGGGTGCAGGATTTGAACAAAGTTTAACTAAAGACAGTCGCAAAAGACTAAAGAATATATATATATATATATATATATATATATATATATATATATATATATATATATATATATATATATATATATATATATATATATATATATATACATGGAAGCTACCAATGTCCTTGAATAAAAGAGATCAATTCACCTGCACGACACCGTGTTTCAAAACTAATCGCTAAAGGCCGAGATATGTGTCGCAGGTTGCTGTCATCTATTTGGTTATTGGAGACATTTCGATATTGTGTTATTGTGTGGGGGTTTTCGCATAGATTGTAAACTGAACTTAAAGTTAGCATCACTTATGCAATATTTGAAGGCTTGAGAGAATGGCGATTACGTTGTGTGAGATGTGGGGGGGGGGGGGTGAGTGTATAGCTTTTATGTTTTGTGACCGGGGAGTGTGTGCCTTATAATTTTTTGAGTGCATTTGTATACCTTGCAAGTTTGCGAGAGCATGACGGTATGGCTTTTATGTATTGTACGGGGGTAAAGGTATGGATTTTTAAGTTTTATGAGCGGATGAGTGTTAAGCCTTTACGTTGATCTACAAGTGTGAATGACCTATACATTACTAATTGCTTTCATTCACGCCATCCCCAGCAACTGTTCCCGGACCGGCACCTTCAGCCAGTGCTGCCTCCCCACATCTGACGAGTGTGTGTTCGAGAACTCCTCTGACCTCACGAGCGTGAGAAGTTTGTGCTCCGGCCAGACGTCTTGCACCCACGCGCCCTTGAAGAGGCTGACGTCATCCCTGGGCAACTGCAACCAGAGCCTGTACACAGACCTGACCTCCATCGCTTTTGTCGAGTACACGTGTGTTAACGTGAGCAGTGTGGTGAATCTCTGCGACAACACGGTGAGGTCAGAGTTCGGGGAGGTCACCCTAGACAGCAACAACGTGCGTGACAACAGGAACCTGGTCAACAACAGCTGTAGCTGTCTGCTGACTGCTGACCAGAACTCGACCTTGACATTTACAGCGGTAAAGGCGCAGTTCACGGCCTACGCCAATGTATGCATGGAGGATCTTGTGTTTACAGACAAGACATACCCGGATAAGAATAGAACGGTCACGTGCACGGATGGTCAGCTGACGGCCAACCCAGTCCTACAACCAGGGGTCAGTTACAACGTGCTCAACCAAATCAGCGTCATCCAGGACAAGGCGTTGTTTACCTCGCAATCAGGTCAGGTCGACGTGACACTGCTCGTGGCGGAGACTCACAACGAGACCCTGTCCATCAGCGTGAAGCCATCGGTCAACGGCAGTAGACTGACGCTGGACTGCCGGTCAAATATCGTGCCGTACAAGACACGTAAGCTCACGACGCAGACCCCAAGCGGACAGACTACAGCAGCCAACATTTTGACAACACCGCGAGACAACAGAACAGGGAACCCCACACCTCCATCTGCTAGTACCGTGGGACCAGATGGTGCAGGTACCACAAGGTCACCAAGTGTGACAGGTACCACAAGGTCTTACACTAGCTCAAGCGTGACGAGGAAACCAGGTCACCGCGGACCAAACAAGCAATGTGGCGAGTCCAACATCCTGTACAGTCTAATGGAGTACAACCAAAAATATGGAAGAGAGGCGCAAAGACGGAAACGAAAGAATTACCGACAAACCAAACTCTATTGGAGAATAGACAACAAATCCTAAATATTTCATTTAAATATAGGAAACTAAAAAATGCACAATAAATGAATATATATATATATATATATATATATATATATATATATATATATATATATATATATATATATATATATAATAATATGTATATTACATGTTTAGTTTGTTTGACCCTTTCTGTAATAATACTCTTTAGTTATATAATTACTACTTTGAGCGGATGTTCTAAAAAAAATTTATGTAAGTAAAATCTGATTTACAAATTACATTGTTAACTTTATTAACTGGAAACAATATATTATGGTATATCAAATTTAAAACAGCCTTAATTTCAGGAGTCAGTTTGTTTAGGGCACTTTGTCCTCACCTGATTGTTTGTTTTATGTTTTCTTTTGTCATTTAGTACTTTGAATATTTTTTTCAGCACCTTTTCCTCGGTTATTTCGTTACCTTATGGTACAGTTGTACGTTTATACATGTGAGATAACCATCAACAGTCAATGTTTTTTTTTGGTTTTCTTAAAGTCCAGCTGAGCTAAAGTTTAACTTCACGAAAACCACCTTCAAACTTTTGAACAAGTTGTTCATTTATGTAGGAAATTAGAGAAGTCGTTCATACTTGCCAATGTTATAAATTCATTGATGTTTAATTCTAACAACTTGATCAGAGCTAGGGGTACTGAAGGAGACTAATTACTCGAACCGAGAACTAACACTAATCCTAACCATAAGGCCAAGTACAGCTATGTGAACATGGGGCCAAATGTCCATCATAGCTAGGCGGACCATATCTAACCAAGACAATTAACATATTTGATTTTAAGGGACCATAATATATAACCAAGCGTCATTAAACCTGAATTGACATGGGTCCATTGCCTTAAGCTCAGGTTAGTCAGAGCTAAATACTCAAGTTGTTTTACCACCTTGAGCTCAGGCCCACCAGAGCTAAATACTCATGTGGGTCTATCGTCTTCAGCTCAGGTCAGTAAGAGCTAAATAGATACAATAGGGTCCATCGCCTTGAGCTAAAGCCCACCAGAGCTAAATAGACTAAATGGGCCCACCGTCTCTAGCCTAGGTCCATCAGACCTACATGGACTCAATGAGGGGGGGGGGGCACCAAAGCCCATTAGAGTTAATTGGAGCGTGTGTCTTGTCTGTAGTATAACAACAGCTGTACAATAAAATTGATTCAATCCTGCTGAACTGATTTGTTTCTTTTGTTTGTTTGTTTGTTTGTTTGTAACAAAGATGCACACAAATTAAGTTATGAATTTAAATATTTTATTTATGGTTGGATTTGGAGCCCACTCCCCCCCCCCCCCCCTCCCCTTATCGTATTGTTTGGTTCGGCGTTGTGATATTTCCATCACTGATTAACTTAATGGTAGCGATTCCGACAGTTATAGAATATATTAAAGTAGAAAACATTAAGTTAAAATTTGATATTAAAACTACAACATATAAAAAGTCATAAATGTCCCGTAACGCCCGCTGCCGCCCGCTTACAATACGCATAGAAAAATTAAATTTGTTTCATTAAAATTTGGCCTACAAATCCTAATTTTTAACTAAACAGGAAGTCGGATAGTTTCAGCATCCTTTTCCGGTCTTCTAATTTCAATGGCGCTTTTGAAAGATAAAAAATAATAGTTTCTTTCTATCTCGAAATTTTAGACTCATCTGTCCTATTTTTAGTAGATTTAATATTAAAAATAAAATAAAATAATGCCTCTAAACGTATCTAGGCATGTATTTTATGAATTATATATCTTAAACATAACCAAATTAATATTTAACTGTTAAATTCGATGCATAGTTGTTTAGACAAAAATAAATAAAGTTGACTACCAAAAAGACCTTTTTTGAATTTTCTCCGACATTTTTTATTTTTATACTGTACTTGTACCGAATATAATATATTCTATTTAATACTGTTGGAAAGCCAGGTTTATTCCCAACATTTAGAAGTAGTTTTTATCTTAATTTTCAATTTCATTTAGACAAAAAAAATGTTTTGTGAAACTGTTCACTTGATCATACAGAGTTATGCTCCTTACATTGGGCCGTCATGGGTGGAGTTTTGGTAGAATGAATGGGACATTAATGGTTAAAACTCTTGTGATAAAAAATCTATATTTTCTACTTCTAATTCAAATTTGTAAAGTAGAATGCGAAGTTATAATGTGAGTGATTTAAAATAACATTGTTTTTATTTTAGATTTTAGTATTTTTTTAAGAGAAATATTTAATCAAAAAGTTCAATGAAGAAGTTTTTTTTTTTAAATTTTCTGTAAAATAAAACTTACTTTCATTTTCGTTGTCCATCATGACTGTAGAATTCGATGCAAGGTACCTTCATGGAGAGAAAAAGAAACTAGAACGATGGGATAGCAGTTGTTTAAGTAGTTTTGTGAGGTTGATCATTTTGTATTATTATGTTTAATTTGGGTAGATATGTCGAAAAAAATAACTTTGATTTTTTAAATACATTTCAAAAATATATTTTAATTGCATTTATTGTTGTATAGAAACTGCCGAAGTAACGTATAAGCTAAACGAGCTTCAGATGATGTGGATTTGTACAAGTGTATTAGGAATACGAGGATCGAAATAAAAATAATGCAACTTGTTCAAAAGCCGTTCTTTTCACAAGGATTTTAAACAGTCTGATTGTAAAGTTTGTTTTACACGTCTTGAAATGATTCTAGAATATGTCACCAGTTGAATACATCGTGTCTCATAGGTCTAGGAGTAGGGCGTTACCCACTTGTCAAATCCCCGGGTCGAAAGCCCCACGCGAATTTATCTTTCAGTTACCCTCCATGTATATCACTTTGTTTTCTTCTTCATCTTTTTCGTTCTTAATTGTAGTGTTTGAAGAGATTCCCTCAAATACAATTAAGTATACGTGTCAATTTTTTAAACGCCATTTAGGCATTGACTCCGATTTCAGCCTGTTTTTCTTTTTGGATTTGCTTCCATAGCCTTTGTCCAACCAAGAACAAAGAACAAACTACTTGATTTTGGAGTTGTCTCTCTTAGATGAGTGGCTGTCCGCAGCTATCGAGCACCATCTTTTTCAAACTCGGGACTTTTCAATTAATCAACCCGACGACGCCGACCTCCGCATCGCTTAAAATGTTACTGCCTGATGATTACTCATAGCCCATAAACTAATAGGGATAGGGATATAAATAGATCAAAACCAACATTTTTGTTTGTTTTATCATTAGTAAAATTTGAATTCTTGCTGACAAAAAAAAAGGAAAGTTAAGCTAGTGAAATGTAGCTTACATCCTGCTAAGGCCGGCACTGTGCGTCTCGAACAGTGTACATAATCTGCTTACTACACTAGCGACATTATCCTACGTTAGATAAGTTTACCGAAGCTTAACACATCAGTAAGATAATTAAATTGCTTCAATTGCTACTTACTTTAGTAAACCAGGCTAGAAGTACGAGACAGATTGCACTGATTCAAAATCTTTCTCAGAAAATAAAATAAACGCCAGATTTTATTTTATTCACACAAATAAAAACATCTCCACATCTTTAGACATCTATGACATCTATGATTTCATACATAAATATAAATAAGTGACAGTGCATACATCAATTACAACTCGTGTAAAATAATCAGGAATTCGTGTCAGTTACTTCTATATCTAAAAGCTGTTTGGTTTCTTTAAAGAAATAATATAATTTAAATATATTAAACAATATCTTATTAGGCAACATAAAAGTGATATTACAAAGTTATATCGGAAAATCCCGTTTTCATTTTAAACTATAGCGTACAGTGAAAAATCGGTTGTCGTCGTAGATAAAAAATTAAATATGTATACATAAGTATGGAGATCGTTATATAATATATGTATATATAATATGTATACATATATGCATAATATAAATATATATATATATATTTATATATATATATTTATATATATATAACTGTTTTATTAACAGATTAAAGATAAACATCCTTATTCTTAAGTCTGCAGTGATTAAAGCTTAAACGTATACATTTACGTGTATGTTGCATATATTTAGGTTATAGGGTTATGTAGGCCGAGGCAGAGGATGAAACACACACACACACACACACACACACACATATATATATATATATATATATATATATATATATATATATATATATACACATATATATACATAGCCTATACACATATACAATATGTATCTAATATATATATATATATATATATATATATATATATATATATATATATATATATATATATATATATATATATATATATACTTTGTGACTTGGAAGGTGTGGGTGACACCATGAATTGCCGCACTTCATATATAAACATATATACCTATATCTTTATGTCTCTTCCCATCTTACTGCACACACTTTGTGTTTGGATTTCAAATATCAGACTGGATTCATATATAATATTATATATATATATATATATATATATATATATATATATATATATATATATATATATATATATATATATATATAACTATTATATATAACTAATTATATATATAAATTATGTTTTAAATTGCCTAAAGATCCCTATGATTGTCTCCTTGTACTTAGTGCTCATCCTGACGTAGATAAAAATAGTCAGGCAGGAGTTGATGGATTCCATGAAGAAAGCCACACAGTAACAGAGCAGTGCCACGTCAAAGTACGGGCCCCTGATGCTCAGGCCTCGCACCAGCCCCGCCGCTGTGATGATGGCCGACTCGGGGATGAGGCAGACGATGAACAATGACGACACCATCGTCAGCATCAGGACGATTTTCTTTTCCTTTCTGGGCATGTGAGAGTCGGGTTGTGAGTGTCCGGTTCTTGAGACAGACACCCGCCACTGGGCGCGGGATTTTAGTTTGACGCACAGGACGACGGTGCAGATGATGATGAAGGTGAAGGTGAAGTACGGCACGAACAGGTCGGTGATGAGGTAGGACAGACTTAACACCGTGTCAGGACTCCCGCGGAAAGCCAGGCCGAACACGCTGGAATTGGTGCCAGGGATGGCTCTCCAATCCAGGTAGGCTACATTGTAGACAGGGAACACGTTGAACATGGTGATGAAGTAGATGCTCACGTTAAACACTATCGCCACGTTCCTGGTCACGATGCGTTTAACTTTGAGCGGGAACACCACACATAAACACCTCTCGAACGCCGCGAAGGCCGTGATGAACCCGCACACCCGTGTGAAGTAGTTGTGGGGGTAGAACCCCACCAACGACGCAACTTCAATGGGCTTGAACGTGTGCTCCAGATTCAAGAACCACGGGTTTACCAGCACGTTAAAAAACTGGATGCTCACCAACGCGCCAATGTCGCTGATAGCTAAAGCAGTTAGGGTTATGTTTAAGCTTTCATCAAATCCTTGTTTAGCGAACACGATAATGTTCAGAAGATTTGATGCTATGCCAAAGACAGCAATCACCCCACCAGTTACCAGCAAGTTGAAGATAAGAAAACAGTCCAACACTACCGCATTAATCAGATGTGTCGAAGCAGTTCCGGTAACTCTTGACTGATTTTCGACGCTTGTGCTAAAGTTAGATAACTCAGAGTTGCTAGAATTAAATAGTTCGCTTGACATTATTTTAGAGAATATAAATATCAGAAAACTATAATATATTTTATTTTAATTGTTATATCTTATTATTGACATATAAAATAAAAGATTTGTTTGAAATATTTCATTTCCTATTCTTATTATAGCCTAAGCATATGGTATTAAAAACAACACTTTATGACTAAAAGAAAAAGATATTAATTTTTCTATCTTGTTCTCACAATAGGCCCTTTATCAAATACTTAGTATATGACTTACTATTTTTTTTAATGTTTGCAAAGAGACTGTTTATATAGGTTTAAACAAAATAAAAATTTGTGTAGTGTTTTTGACCTCACGAATTTTATTCTGGTCTGTTGAAATTTATTTCATAATGTTATTTTATAAGCAATGTAGGTGAACAAAAGGCGTGCTGATATTTTTCTTTTTAATTATTTAAACATCGTCGACGATAATTAAATATAAGACAATATAAAAGCATTGTTTAAAAATTTTCAAGCGAAAAGATGTTTCTATATTTTTATTGATTTGTTCGTTTCTCTCTTTTTGAAAATAATTACAACTTATCTACGAAGAAGATAAAAATTAAGATAATTAAATTACCTCCCTTGAAGGCCGATAATTGATGAAGGTTTGTTGTAAATGATAATTACAGTCTGTGGGTCTATACTTAAACCTCAGCGTATCATTAATTTCTGTGGTTGTAGACTGAAGAAGAAATAAGTCTTTCATTTCTAAAAGAGAATATTCATCGCCAGGAACAGATCTATAAAAAAAATTGATTTCAACTTTTTAAACTTAACGAAAGGTTAATTTTAACTTTGTGAAAAAGAAACCAAAGGAAGAAGAAACTTATCGCAAAGAGTAACAGAAACCTTTGATGGTGTGGTTCAATGGTACTGTGAAGTAGGTTTAACGTTTGATGTACGTTGCTGGTAGCTTCTGTAGATTTGTTTGTGTGTTGTGTTCTTAAGATAATTAATTAGGGCAGATATGTCATGGTAAATGGCATACGGTGAGACACTCAGGTGAGTAGGTCAATCAGTTGTAGTCACACTTTGTTTGAACCAGATCAGTACTTCAAGGTGTGTTGTAAGGTAGATTTTAACGTAAACTTCCATCTGTTTTGCAGTGATGTGTATATTTGTAATAAGATGTGCGAATATAAAAAATGTTAAATGCAAAAAAAAAAAAATGAAAAAATAAGAAATATATAAGTTCTTATTTTATACGTAGAATATCAAAGAATAGTTTGGTTCATGTATTTAAACTATTAATATTTTAATCAAATAATGTAGATAAATATAAATATGATACATGGGTGCGTGTAACACACGTAGATGAAAATAAAGTGTATATACTGTAAATATATTTTTACAAACTCTCTTATTCTTCAAACAACTTTTCTTTATTAACGAGGTACGTAACTCACATCTGACAATAGTTTCTTTTAGCTTGATTTTTATAAATGCCGATGAAACATTTGTCAATACGATAAAGGTGAATAAGGTGGCGATGATTTACTTTTACACAGGTTAATGAGAGCGTTAATCTCCTCAGATGACGGCTTTTTGTCAGGTGCTGGGGGGGGGGGCGCTAAATCGAGGATGGCAGCTTAGTATAGACTACAGAGCCAGGTTGTCAGGGGCGTGGGGGGGGGGGGCGTTAGATCAAGGCCGGCAGCTTAGTATAGACTACAGAGCCAGGTTGTCAGGGGCGTGGGGGGGGGCGTTAGATCAAGGATGGCAGCTTAGTATAGACTACAGAGCCAGGTTGTCAGGGGCGTGGGGGGGGGGCGCTAAATCGAGGATGGCACCTTACTATAGACTACAGAGCCAGGTTGTCAGGGGCGGGGGGGGGGGGGGGGCGTTAGATCAAGGATGGCAGCTTAGTATAGACTACAGAGCCAGGTTGTCAGGGGCGTGGGGGGGGGGGCGCTAGATCAAGGATGGCAGCTTAGTATAGACTACAGAGCCAGGTTGTCAGGGGCGTGGGGGGGGGGGGGCGTTAGATCAAGGATGGCAGCTTAGTATAGACTACAGAGCCAGGTTGTCAGGTGCTTGGGGGGGGGGCGTTAGATCAAGGATGGCAGCTTAGTATAGACTACAGAGCCAGGTTGTCAGGTGCTTGGGGGGGGGGGGGGCGTTAGATCAAGGATGGCAGCTTAGTATAGACTACAGAGCCAGGTTGTCAGGTGCTTGGGGGGGGGGCGTTAGATCAAGGATGGCAGCTTAGTATAGACTACAGAGCCAGGTTGTCAGGTGCTGGGGGGGGGGGGTGGGGCGCTTGATCGAGGTTGGCAGCTTAGTATAGACTACAGAGCCAGGTTGTCAGGTGCTTGGGGGGGGCGTTAGATCGAGGTTGGCAGCTTAGTATAGACTACAGAGCCAGGTTGTCAGGTGCTTGGGGGGGGGGGGGGGCGTTAGATCAAGGATGGCAGCTTAGTATAGACTACAGAGCCAGGTTGTCAGGGGTGTGGGGGGGGGGGCGCTTGATCGAGGTTGGCAGCTTAGTATAGACTACAGAGCCAGGTTGTCAGGTGCTGGGGGGTCGCTAGATCGAGGATGGCAGCTTAGTATAGACTACAGAGCCAGGTTGTCAGGTGCTTGGGGGGGGGGGCGTTAGATCAAGGATGGCAGCTTAGTATAGACTACAGAGCCAGGTTGTCAGGTGCTTGGGGGGGGGGGCGTTAGAACAAGGATGGCAGCTTAGTATAGACTACAGAGCCAGGTTGTCAGGGGCGTGGGGGGGCGCTTGATCGAGGTTGGCAGCTTAGTATAGACTACAGAGCCAGGTTGTCAGGTGCTTGGGGGGGGGGGCGTTAGATCGCGGTTGGCAGCTTAGTATAGACTACAGAGCCAGGTTGTCAGGTGCTTGGGGGGGGGGCGTTAGATCAAGGATGGCAGCTTAGTATAGACTACAGAGCCAGGTTGTCAGGGGTGTGGGGGGGGGGGCGCTTGATCGAGGTTGGCAGCTTAGTATAGACTA